AACAAATTAACTCTGTTAAACGAACGATCCGTATCAATTTTTCTTTTCTTATAAAGAAATGAGAGAATAAATCAGTACCGAAAACCGAAGACCGATCAATACGTAATTTTTCCATCAAATTAACGCGGATAAATGAACGATTCGTATTAATTTTCTGTTTTCTTATAGAGAAATGAAAGAATAAATCAGTACCGAAAATCGAATATCGATTAATACCGTAAATCAGTGTCAGAGAATTGTCCAAGTGCAATGACAATTTGTTCTTATTTTCAGGTACTTACCCCTTTAATTTACTTAATAAATTAACTCTGTTAAACGAACGACCCGTATCAATTTTTCTTCTCTTATAAAGAAATGAGAGAATAAATCAGTACCGAAAACCGAAGACCGATCAATACGTAATTTTTCCATCAAATTAACGCGGATAAATGAACGATTCGTATTAATTTTCTGTTTTCTTATAGAGAAATGAAAGAATAAATCAGTACCGAAAATCGAATATCGATTAATACCGTAAATCAGTGTCAGAGAATTGTCCAAGTGCAATGACAATTTGTTCTTATTTTCAGGTACTTACCCCTTTAATTTACTTAATAAATTAACTCTGTTAAACGAACGATCCGTATCAATTTTTCTTCTCTTATAAAGAAATGAGAGAATAAATCAGTACCGAAAACCGAAGACCGATCAATACGAAATTTTTCCATCAAATTAACGCGGATAAATGAACGATTCGTATTAATTTTCTGTTTTCTTATAGAGAAATGAAAGAGTAAATCAGTATCGAAAATCGAATATCGATTAATACCGTAAATCAGTGTCAGAGAATTGTCCAAGTGCAATGACAATTTGTTCTTATTTTTCAGGTACTTACCCCTTTAATTTACTTAACAAATTAACTCTGTTAATCGAACGATTCGTATCAATTTTTCTTTTCTTATAAAGAAATGAGAGTATAAATCAGTATCGAAAGCCGAAGACCGATCAATACGTAATTTTTCCATCAAATTAACGCGGATAAATGAACGATTCATATTAATTTTCTGTTTTCTTATAGAGAAATGAAAGAGTAAATCAGTATCGAAAATCGAATATCGATTAATACCGTAAATCAGTGTCAGAGAATTGTCCAAGTGCAATGACAATTTGTTCTTATTTTCAGGTACTTACCCCTTTAATTTACTTAATAAATTAACTCTGTTAAACGAACGATCCGTATCAATTTTTCTTCTCTTATAAAGAAATGAGAGAATAAATCAGTACCGAAAACCGAAGACCGATCAATACGTAATTTTTCCATCAAACAAACGCGGATAAATGAACGATTCGTATTAATTTTCTGTTTTCTTATAGAGAAATGAAAGAATAAATCAGTACCGAAAATCGAATATCGATTAATACCGTAAATCAGTGTCAGAAAATTGTCCATGTGCAATGACAATTTGTTCTCATGTTTCGGATGTTTATCTTTCTAATTTACTCAACAAATTAACTCGAATAAACGATTGATTCGTATCAATTTTTCTTGTCTTATAGAGAAATGAGAGAATAAATCAGTACCGAAAATTGAAGACCGATCAATATTTAATTTATTCATCAAATTAACGCGGATAAATGAACGAGTCGTATCAATTTTGTTTTCTTGTAGAAGAATGAAAGAGTAAATCAGTACTGAAAATCGAATATCGATCAATACCATAAATCAGTGTCAGAAGATTGTCCAAGTGCAATGACAATTTGTTCTCATTCCCGAGTCTTTCCCGAGTCGAAATATTAATTCTACATTGATCCTGCAAATTGCATCCAATTTGAAAAATCATTGCAGAATATCTAGATGCGCAATAGTGAACAAGCTTTGTCTTACCTGAACGTTACATCTGGCTACTCTCGCAGTCTCGCCCATGATGAGTCTTCAACAGCGACGTATTCCGCAGTTATTTAATACTCGTTTATCTCGATAATGTATATGTACTTAATCCTTATATTCTTAATTTAAATGAGCAATTTTTGTTGATATTGATTATATATTTGCTTAACAGCGCAAGAAAGAGAACAAAGATAAACACGTAAATAGAACTGTCTTTGTTAGAACTGCGCGTGAGATAAATATATATGGATTAAATAATCATATAAGAATTAGAGGAAATGGGAGATGAAAAACACTTTTTATTCTCATCATTCTTAAAGTTCTTTTTTTCTTTTTTCTTCTCTTTTTTTTCTTTTCTTTTTTCTAATGAGAATGATGAGAATTGTAGCTCTCAAAAGAGCTGAAGCTGCAAAAAGACAACGGTTATGTCTAATAATGCTGTTTCACTAATAGAGATTTTAATTCTGATTCGGTACAATAAGAAAGATAAACAAGAATGAGAAACGGACATTCTAGCAGATTCTAAACGAAAACAGCAATCTGAGCATTATTAGACGAATAAAAATCAACACTTGTAAAATTTATATCAGATTCTAAGATCATTATTCATAGTTTTTTAAATTATGTGCAATTTTTCATTAAGAACATAATTACAAATTTGTATTCATAAACCTTAGCTTGCCTTAGCAACCTTGCTTGAATAGACATTCATATCTTATGAGAAAAGAAAAGTAGAACTCATGTTACGTGAAATTAGTTTAACGAATAATCAAATTTCAAGCTATTTTTCAGATGATAAACTATGAATGCTGATCTAATTTCGACTCGGGTATGTCCTTACTTCGAGTAAGGTCCGTTAAAATCAGAAAAATCTTGCGTAATAATAATGACTCGAGGTACCTCGAATACCATATATGATGTATCGCTGTCCACATCTCTCGGCGCGCTCCAAGTGTTCTCTGCATCCTGATTTCTCGATCCGACGTCCTCCTTCTGGTTACTCCGTCGCAGCACCCCCGGATACTCCATCGTAGCACTGGCGACGACACTGACTCTAGCTCTAACACTCGCGCAAGTAAGATTCGGGGATAAAGAAACGCGTATTAACCGATTACTGCGAACTCTGCGTCGCGGTATGCGCGTCGTTCGTCGGCCCGAGGCGCAATGTCCTTTCCGCAATCACGGAGTCATATATAAGCGTACGAAAACAAACAATCGGGAAGGCACGGTAACCCCCCACCAGTCGCTGACCTTGCCGATCAATGTTGATGCCTGCGTCGTCCGTTAGCTGAAAATGAAAACAACTCGTGTTTTCAAAGCATGCCTGTGAGAGACTCGCTTCAAACTTCACAATACTTGTTTACGTCTGTTCCAAGAATCATATTACGCCGAATTCAAACTGTCTCTATTGACATGACATAGACGAGATCTGCGATCGCATTATTGATCTTTCTTTGGACAAGAAAATCCTGAGAAGAACGCTGTTCGAGAATATCACATTTTATGTTTCAGGTGCCTTGCAGATTATCGAATCCGATGTAACAGATCAGCGGCGCGATTCTTTAACTCGTTATTGGAGTTAACGAAACTGTCGTTAACTCCAATAACGAGTTAAAGAATCGCACCACAGGGAATGCGTCGCTATGAATAACACGCGTGGACACGGAGTACTCCAAGTCAATCACGTTATACGTGAAACGTACGTATATTTAATATTATATAAAATTTACCTTTTTAAATAAAAAAGTAAAAAAAAGGCGCCAAGTACAAGCGTAACACGTATTGTGTTATTTTTAGAAGTATCAAACTCAAATTATTTTTTTATTGTATATATGTGTACATAAGTTTTTTTACAAGTAAAACTTATAACTATAATAAAACTCTGCAACGCTTTTCTACTGTACAAAAGAAATGATATATTAGGACAGTAGCGCCAACTGAGAAACCTAACATAACATAACTAAAACTCATTTAATACATATATGATAGCATTTTTATTATAATAAAATGTTCTTGTAAATTCTCTTTATACATATACGGCATAATGTTTTATTTAAGTTTATATAGTATTATAATAAATAAATTATAAACCTTCATTATAGAATATATTATAATAAAAATGTTGTCATATATGTATTAAACAAGTTTTAGTTCGATATAGTTTTTGATGCAGCCGCGCCAAAATTTTATGAACAATTAAACCTACGCGTAAGTTGCAAGTGCGTTTTGCATCGCGCGCTACGCGCACAATTGTTGAAACCTACGCGTAAGTTAAAAGTGCGTAAGCTGCACGCACGGTTATTAAAACTTACGCGTAATTGGGCACGCACAGCGTGCGATACAAAACGTATTTGCAACTTAAGGCCATCACACGTAGAAAAAACTTAACCGTAACCGTAAGGTTGTAAGAAAACTGACCAATCACAGTCGATCCATTCTCTTGCGACATTATAATAATCGACTGTGATTGGTCAGTTTTCTTACAACCTTACGGTTACGGTTAAAATTTTTCTACGTGTGATGGCCTTGATGGCCTTGATTACGTGTGAATTTTCTCACTTCAACTTGTTGCACCAGTTCAACAGTGCAGACAAAACGAACAGGCCTATTGTCTGGCATAGAGATAGTAACTATGGTTGCAGCACGGACATAAACTGCCTGAAAGTGGATGTAGCATGAACTTCCACCATATGCAGATTTTACCACCGAGACCTGAAAGTGGATGTACTATCGTAGTTCCCCTCTCAAAATGGATGCAGATGGCGTCCTTTCCCAGTGCGGAAAGTCGGTGTCGCAGAAAATGGCGTATTGGCCGCTCTCAGGTTACTTTCTGCTATTATCATCGCTCTTCAATTACTTCCGGGTCCCTTGGAGCCCCCTTGGTCAATACGAAAATTTACCTAGGGTTGACAGTCTTTATATTACCAGAGAGGAAGCCATCCACACGCATCGGATACTCACGTACGCACTACAAACACACACCGCCGCCATGTTTTGGCGGTCTTCATGGCCGAACCGGAAAATAGGCGGGACACAGCTCTTGTATAGGTCAAAGATCGAAGTTAGCAATCTAGTATAGTATAGACATCTGTGGCTACAACACATATTGTAGACCAGACCTTAAAGTCCACTTTTGAATAAAAGGTTTAAAGGCTAGTAGCTGTTCTGTTTAGCTGCACTATTGAACTGGTGCAGTAAGTTAAAGTGAGACAAATATAGGTTTCCTCACTCTAGCTTATTGCACCAGTTCAGCAGTGCAGCTATTGCCGTACGGAACAGTGTAGTATATAAATCACGTGCCGTACGGAACAGTGTAGTATATAAAAAATGAGATACGCACAGTTAATAATGGGACCAGCCGGTAGTGGCAAGGTAATGCATTTGAATCTTTTTATCATTAAACTTATATTAATTGGACAACAATATGTGCTAAATGAAATAACATTAAATATTCAAAATTATTTTGCTTTCAACAGTCCACATATTGCTCTGTTATGCAAGAGCATGCTGCTAACTCTAGGAGGCCAGTATCTGTTATAAATTTGGATCCTGCAGCGGAATATTTTGACTACGAACCTGCAGAGGATATAAGAGAATTAATTCATGTGGATGATCCCATGGAAGATGATGAACTTCGATTTGGGCCTAATGGTAGCCTTGTATTCTGCATGGAGTAAGTTTTTTCATATCTATAAATTTGTTACTATTTATATATCATAATCTTATATAACAAATTCATTTTTTTGCAGATATTTGGTTGAAAGTAAATGGTTGGAAGAGAAATTAGATGAAAGACAGGATGATTATATAATATTTGATTGCCCAGGACAAATTGAATTATATACACACATGATTGTAATGCGTCAATTGATAACTATTCTACAGAATTTTGATTTTCAAGTATGTGCGGTATTTTTAATCGACAGCCAATTTATGGTGGATGGGCCGAAGTTTCTGTCAGGCACAATGGCTGCTCTTAGTGTAATGATAAATCTAGAGCTTCCACATGTTAATATTCTTAGTAAGATAGACTTGTTGTCAAAGAGTGCGCGGAAACAATTAGATATGTACTTAGATCCTGATCCAGTGGCATTATTAGGAGACGTGGAAAGTGATCCCATAAATGAAAAATATCATAAACTTACAGAAGCTCTTGGTAGACTCATAGAAGATTATAGCTTGGTGCGTTTTTTGCCGCTAAATATCAAGGATGAAACTAGTATCACAGACATTAAGATAACTATTGATAATGTATTACAATATGGTGAAGATACAGAAGTTAAAGTTAGAGACTTTGATGAGCCATGTGTAGATGATAATGATTAACATAGACTTGATAATATAGATTATATATCTAATATGTGACCATGCTTCTCTTAATAAAATTATTTTTCTTTTCTTATATCCAGTTATAGTTGAGCTATTAAAGTATATCTCATTCCCACTAATTTTTAATATACCTAATTTAATATACTTAAAAACAAGAAAGAGAAGGGAGAAGAACTTTGATATACTAAGAGTTAACTTTTTGTTAACTTGTTATTTATAAAATTATTTTTACAGTCAAATATTTACAATATGAAATTTTATCTATCTACATACGTGCCTGATGTATTAAATATAAACATGAGACATCCGAAAGTAATAGTCGAGCCATGTGCAATGATTGCACTACCTTCCCATCCTTCTTCTGGATGTTTATTAGTTGTGATATCACGCTTCCTATTACATTTACATAAAACCTTATTAATTTCATGTGTATGTTGTTGCAAAGAAACTTCCTCTTCTTTATGTAGAATAGTTTTTATCATTTCAGATGTTTCTTCTTCCTTGGTGACATATGTCACTTTGTCATTCTTCTGATCTTTCGAATCTTTTTCCATGATGTAAGTATAATTAGAACAATATAATACATCATCCACCACTGTTCCATATTCACTATAATTGAGTAACTCGTAACGTTTAGTCATCTGTAATAATATTAATTAAGAAAGAGGATATAATTAATACACGTAATTTCTTTGATTCAATATATTTTGTTGAGAAATTTTCTGATATTTCACTCACCTCATCGAAAAATATAATTGCATGTTTAGATGATATGAAACTACAATTACCATAATTAGATAAAACTAAATCACAATTTGGACCATTGCCAATAACAAAAGTTCTATGAGCCATGTAAGCTGGTGGACTAGGTTTAGAATTTAAGGAAAATAACACAGCTCTAATATTTTTATGACGAGTTACTGTTTCATAATATTCACCGTCAGGATTTAATATTTGTTCTAATCTTTGTTGTGCTAATGCTTCCAACACTGGTCTCTCTAACAGCTGTACACCTTCCTTAATATCATAATCATAATATCTTGAATGAAATTCAAGATTATTGTATGCTCTAAAAGCATCTGTTGCAGCTTCATTTTCTATTTTATTCGTGCATTCATTCACATCAGACTCTTTTTCTTGATTACTTTCTCTATTTGTAGTTACATTCTTTTCTTCTGTTTTTATTTCTACTTGGCTGCTTTCTTCAGTTCTCTTATCTTCTAATCCACAATTATCCTTGTTACTTTCTATTTTATTGGAATTTGTATATTGTTCATCTCTGCTTGCAGTATTCTTTACAGGCCGTATAACAATATTTTGATTAAAATATATAGAATCCAATTTCGATGGGTTCTCGTAATGATATTTTATGCTGCTAGGAACTTTTATTCTCGGACGACCTTCTAATCTTACTTTTGTGCGAAACAATGGATTAGCAGCACGGGCTTTACGCAGGAAATCTAATTTTACCGCATGTTGATCTATTCGTTGATTGGCATATTTATCCCACAGTTTTATACGTTCTGTTACTCTACATGAAGTTAACAGATTTTGATCTATGAAGTGATTTGGATGATTAGGACACATCCATCTACCGATAGGAAAGGTAGTCAGTGGTGGATCCAAACAGTCCTGATGAAAATACAATGGACAGTAATCACATGCAATTAATGGAGCTTTCCTGCAACTACGTCCACATTCAAAACACAAACGGGCTGGTAATGGAACCATTAAGTTACTGTCCAAACAGTGACTTTTTCCAACTAAAAGAAACAAATATTATATTTAATATTTATACAGTGTAAATAATCAGAAATAATTAGGATAATTTATAATTTTTAAAATAAAATACATATTTTTCCAGAAAAAAATGAAAAAAGTATACTTATATTAATAGTATCCTTACCATTATTGCATGATGAACTTAGCTGTTTACCTCTTCTACCAGATACATAATCCATCTTATTACTACCAGGGAACATTATAGGTAGTTGTAATTCCTTGGGTAATTCAAATTCTCTAGGATTTACTAAGGAGGCTGCAAATGCCAATATTTCCAAAGCAGACATTTTCTTTTTCTTATCATTTCCTTTATTATCCATCTCTCTTTTAGCAGCACAACGACAGGTATAACACAACCATTCTCCATTAGGAATATCCATTGGGTCAACTGCAGGATAGCTAGAAAATAAATAATTTTTTAATCATGTTTCCTTCAGGAAATTAAATCGATTCAATTTCTTACAATAAGCGCTGGAATCGGTCACAAAGACGGATGAATCATACACTGGCTATACTTACTGACATTGTAAGTGATAAGAAGCTGGGCATCTGTCACAGCATATAAGTTCTCCTCCATCCTTACAAGCATCACAAAAATCATGGTTATGACCACGACCTCGTCTCTTGAAGTATGGATGTTTTTTCTCCTCTTTCTCTTTCTTTGTCTTGGCTGTTTTAGAATCTTCAGATACTGGTGGTGCTATAAGAGCTTGTATTTGCTAACGACAAGAGAATTATGTTTAAAAGAAATGTATTATTTCAGACAAAAAGGTTAATTAAAAGGAATTAACAATTGTATATCTTCTATATTCCTCACAGAAAATGTATACTGCTACTGGTAAATTTAATTGTTTTACTTACTGGCATTAATCCGCCTATCGTTGGAAAACCATATTCAACAGTACCCATTGTTTTAATAAATAGAACGATATTTAAAAAAATTAAGATTTATATCTTCGCTCTCTCCAGATTAATATCTACCATCTATACTGACACTCTACACTTGCTTTTAGGTTCTATAAGCGCGATACCAACGATCAAACGAAAAATTCTTTTTAGTGATCTATTAATTACTGCAGTTTTATGAACTGATAAGTCCCGGTCTACAATAGATGGTACAATAGGTGATTTAAGCTTTAAGCAATAACAAAGTAACCAATCACAGTCGAATGTAAGGAAAATAGTCGATTATGATTGGTTAATTTTTTACAGCTTAAAGCTTAAATCATCATTGTAGATCCGGGACCATTTTCCAGCAAGAAACGCTGTTTACATAAAACCATTTAATTGGCTATAAATTATCTAAGAAAATATTATAGATAATATATATCCAATAAAATATTAGTGTGTAACACTGTGTTCCTTAGCTGGAAAACGCCCATTATGTAGTGTTTTCTAGGAAAAAGATATCCTACATTCGACATCATTGAGTTTGCAACGAAAGCCGTGCGCGGCGTAAAGATGGTCCCGTTCGTTTCGTTGCGAATGCAACCTTACATCTTTTCTCTCCTCGGTATTTCAGTTCAAGCAAATGGCGTCGTACAGGTGGAGATCGTTGCGTCAAATTACACAAATCATGAATGAATTCTAAGTGTTGTGGCATATTTCTCATGAATTAAGAGTATTGTCAGTTCCGGTAAGCCTCCTCACGACTGCAGTGTAATTTATGTAAGCGAAACCGCTCGTGCAACAACACAAAACTTCTATTTTGTCAGACGTTTGCCTAGTATGTAAACAAACATCGTATCGCCGTCAGTGCTGTCAGACAAATTGTGAATCGTGATATTCTCCAAAACTTTGTAATTGTCGCGAAATTGTTTGTGTCCCATTTTTACAGTTTATGTCTACGATTATAAATTGGAGTCAAGCGGACAACTATATTGTGCAACCTGCAACATACTCCAGCCACAGCATCAGTACTCGTTCCTTGTAATTTCTTATTTCTATTGCATTTAATGTATTTTATTGTGAACTTGTTTCTTCTTAATGCTAATGTTTAATTGATGAAAGTGTACACAAAATATGGAAATAATATTTCATCTATTCGATAAAATATATTTCACCGATGCTATGAGCTATTATAATGGTATATGTATATATATGTTCAATTTGTGTTAGCAGAATATTTATATTTTATATATCTATACTAAATTATTATATTGGTACATGTAAATTAATATAAATTTACATATCTATCTAATCTTTTAATTATATAATATATACTTTTAGTAGATATCTCTTGTGTATATAATGCAATAATAATTTGGAATAATTTTTAGTACTCAGCAACAAAGTGCATATCACAAAATGAACGAAGTAAGCGGAGGAAAGCAAGATATACCTAATACTTCGAGTTGGGAAGCCCTGTCAGGGCAATCAGTATCTTCCTTGCCGATACATCATCATCAGATACTACAGCAAGACCCAAACTCAACAGTAGCACAAGTTATAGTTCCTACACCTGTTAAACTTCAACCACCTATGCTAACACCAGCGCAAACTATAGCTGATCACTGTCCACAACTTGGTCACATGCAACAACCACCTCTGATAACTCAAGTATACATGACATCTCATATACTTTGACAATTTTAACTGATCAGATTATACGATAAAATCATGTTGCAGGGTGCACCACCAGGAGCCTTTCCAGAACCTGAATTATCACCAGAACTTCAGCAGCAAGGATGGAAAAAATTTTGGAGCAAAAGAGAAAATCGACCATATTTCTGGAATAAGTTGACTGGAGAATCTCTATGGGTGATACCTTCTTTGAAACCACAGGTACATAAACTCGAATATAAACAAATATCTATTCTGTACAAAATATGTATATATTTATTGTCCTGAAGTTTGATCCAATCACGGATCCACTTGGCATCTGTGGTGTACCACCTATACCAGGGAACGGAGCTATTCCAGCAGCTGGTACTCCGGGTGGTACGTTGAAACGTAGAGCATCGGAAGACGGAGCAGTCCCTCCAGCAAAGAAATTTGTACTGGCGTATGTATCTTGATCTTATTGAGACATATCGCACGTATGTGTATCATAAGACGGATGAAAAATTCTATTATAATTATATTAGGGGCCCATGGGATTTGGAGATACCTACGAATGTTATAATATACGAGAGAGCGCCATCGAATTTACCGCATGTCCATCCCGAGGCGGAAGCATTGCGTTGCGCTTTATTAGCGAAATTGCGACAGTGTTACCAGGAACTGTGTCATACTCGCGAATCTATAGACGCACCGAAGGATTCCTTTAATAGATGGTTGATGGAACGGAAGGTGATCGATTGCGGTTCGGATCCGCTGTTACCGAGTCAATGTTTCCCTGAAATCTCGATGTCCATGTATCGCGAGATCATGAATGATATTCCCATCAAACTGGTGAGACCTAAATTCACGGGCGACGCCAGGAAACAGTTATCGCGCTATGCCGAAGCCGCGAAGAAGATGATAGAGTCGAGGGCGGCATCATCCGAGAGCAGGAAGGTGGTCAAATGGAATGCGGAGGACACTTTTCAGTGGCTGAGACGAACGGTCGGCGCGACATTCGACGATTTTCAAGATAGGCTCGCCCATCTCAAGCGACAATGTCAGCCGCACCTAACGGAGACTGTTAAAGCTAGCGTCGAGGGGATATGTTTGAAAATTTATCATCTTTCCACGGAATATGCAAAGAAGGTGAAGGACAGGAATAATCAGATCCTCAAGGATAATGGCTTGGGAGATGTCATACCGCTGGGCGGGCCAGCTAGTACGCAGAGGAAAGTTTGGTGTTATCCAGTGCAGTTCTCTCTTCCTACACCAAGACTCCCGCAGACGGATTATCTACCAGAGCGCGAGCAAACGATGTTACGCTTTCACGGCGACACCATGTGTATCAATAACATACATCTCACCAAGCTGGAACACTTGTACAGGTACAACTGTTTCGACGACAAAAAGTTCGAAATGTTTCTGCCACGCGTGTGGTGTATGTTGAAGCGTTATCAAACGTATCTTGGAATCAACGAGGGTCAAGCCACCCAGATGGCCCTGCCCGTTACAGTCTTCGAATGCCTTCAGAGATCGTTCGGCGTGACGTTCGAGTGTTTTGCATCGCCTCTAAACTGTTACTTCCGACAGTACTGCTCAGCATTCGCTGACACGGACTCGTACTTCGGATCGAGGGGACCGTTTCTGGACTTCAGGCCAGTCAGCGGGTCGTTTCAAGCGAATCCGCCATATTGTGAAGAATTAATGGAAGCGATGGTTAATCATTTCGAACGTTTGTTGGCTGATTCGACGGAACCTCTATCGTTCGTGGTGTTTCTACCGGAGTGGCGAGACCCAGCACCCAATGCGCTCATCAAACTCGAAGGGAGTCACTTTAAGCGCAAGCAAGTGGTGGTGCCCGCTATGGAACACGAATATAGACACGGATTCCAGCATATTCTTCCAAAGTACGTTCACAATTCATGCAATTGGCTGACAAGATGTAATATCACGCAAAAAACATGGAATCATCCTTTTCGTTCTTTCTATTCTAGAGGAGAAGTCAACATCCGAGCGGCGCATGGCACGCTGGTCGTATGGTTGCAAAACCCAGCCGGTGCTGCACGATGGGGACCTACGGAGGAGCGAGTCGAGGCCTTATTGGAAGCGTGGCGACCCGGTCGGGAACGAGAACGAGACAGGCAGGAACTCCTATCTCCGCCAAGGCAGACACATCAGCCGATACCCTCAACACCAGTGCCTGTACCAACGACGCCGACCACGCCAACAATTGTGCCACCAGTGCAGACATTACCCACTCATCCCATATAATTGTTGAATAATCTACCGGAAGAGGAAAAACACGTATATAAATAGTCTCGAAAATAAATCTGAATGATTGAGAAAAAGAGGTACGAAATTTATACCTTGTAAAATAACAAACATTCTCGTGGTGGAGATTGGTTTTATACTATTTTATTAGTGATTATGAAATTGGCAAGGGATAATGTGTGAGAAAATAGGAGAGACATTAGGCGATCATGTGTGCGAGAAAATTGCACTATAGAGACACATATGAAAACATTATTTGCTCTATAGTAACAATTTTATATTGATGACAAGATGATCCATTGTGATGTCCCTTTATGTTTCCAAACGATCTCGTAGAAATCGTTTTTATTGACAACCGATGCTTGATCATTCGGCCTCCTTGTTCTATATTGAGACGGAATCAGATTCCGTTGTCTATGTTAACAAATAGCAAAATTATTATATAGGAAGTACATTGAGGAATATGCATCTATAATTATCTGCTATATATAAATAGAGTTTACCTATCAACACGAAAACAAGCACACATTGCAGAAAGTCTAAATTTGTCAGTTTGGACAGTTAATTGTTGTCGGGATACTGTGTTGGACTTTGTGACATGTGATGCTTTGAGTAACAGTTATACTTGCTATGCAAGATAAAAAAATTGGCACTATTACAAATGTCAAAAGAAACTGAATTTACGCAAGTAACAAATGTACATGCGTATGTGTATGTGTGTATGTATGCGGGTACAAGTAGGCATACACGTTGCCTAGAAATCTGCTCGTTTCTCGTGAAGAAGACGTTTTATCGAAAAATTGTTAAGTAACATTGCTGCATTTTCAATCATGACAATCTTTTCTTTTCATACAGATGAACGCTCGGAAGAAAAGGAAGAAGTCAGCGACGCATTTTATTTTAAATAATTTTGTTGGTGCAATATTTTGTATCGATTTATATCTGAGATCTGTAGACACCAGTATACAGATTAGAGACTCCCCCTCAAGAGAAATATTTTTATTCTTTAATGAATACATGTATCATGTAGAGAGTATACTCAACGCAATTATACTTTTGTGTTATTCTTTTCTATGATATAATAGGCATTCGTATTTATCTGGTGATATGTTTGGAGTTTATCTTCTGTACATATTCTTTTGAATATTCTACGAAGTTCTTGATATATAAAAACAATTGAAATGCCATCAAGGATACATTATACATTTTCACAAACTTTTTCACATCAAGCATATCTATATTGATTATAGCGTATATCGAGAGGGTAGATAGATAGATCACTTAGAAACGGAATAATAAAGTTATATTATACGCACATTTATAAGTAATGTATCGGAGATCACATATACGTGTATGTTACTGAATTGATTTTATTAAAAATATTTGTGGTCTACAGTCTTTTTACAAGCGGTTGTCGACATGTCGGCCACTTCTCATTCAAGAAGAGAAATAATATTTACATCTCTTATAAATTTTGTATATTTTTATTAAGAGAGTATATGTGTGCTAGATGTACGCTAGAGAGGAGTAGAGTGTGTACATACACATGTGCATATAGGCGCACACATGCCCATGCGCGTGCGTGTGTATAGCCATCTTTAGCATGCGTATATTTATATATATAATATATATACATATACATATATGCTTACGCAATTGATAGTAAATAAGACAATACGTAAAATATAAGTTAAGAATTTTGTGAGATACTATATTGTTTTATAGGCAGCAAAAACGATTAGGTATCTGCGATTAGGTTATATTACAACTGTATTGTATTACAGCTTGATAGAGTCCAAGAGTAAAAAAATTTTTCTTGTAAATCTTTACATTTAGTGAATAATGTATCTTCCACTGGGAAAAAATTACATTTTCCCACGTTTAATCGTTCTATTAGATTGTAAAAGTCAATCTTACTTATCACATCCGCGCGAGCTTTTTATCATAGATATAATTACACTTATTATAGGACATGAGATAATTATTGCTTTTCTTCATGCTTTATTTTGTGTTAACATTTGCAGTTCTTTTCTTTTCCTTCTTCCTTTTCGTCGTGAATATCTCTTTCTAATTATCTCATGCATTTTACTTGTGTTTTGCTATAATTCAAGATGGCATCTAATATAGTGCTTACTGTACAAACGTAATCTTAGAATGCGGCATGGCGAAATGTTATATCTTCTAAGAGGAAATTTAAATAAAGTTAACGTGAAGAATTTATAAGAATTTAGAAATTAAGAATTCGGTACGAAAGTTGTAAAAGTGAATATCATCATACAGAAACATGAAAATTTATAATCTGCGTTAATTATTAACGATTTATTGAATATCGTTTTATATTCATAGAGAAATTACATTACATCTTCAGTGAAATTACATTTCCAATGTTACAGGATGATTCAAGAATCGAAGTAATATGTTTCAATAACGCACGGGCTTCATCATTTTTGCACATCAAATTGTGCACAGACAAATCTTGCACATCTGTGACAAAATTCTTCAGTACATTTTTTAACGCTCGTAAGTCAAATAAACAGTGATTACGTCCAAGAAGATACTTATTGAAGTTTATAATTTGAGTATTTTTTGCCATAGCATGTAGACGATTCTTAGCAATAAAAGATATAAATTCGAAGAACTGTTTGTAGTCCATGCCATATGACGTTTTTAGCATCAATTGGCAATGTTCGTTCCAATTTTTCATGTCCTTGCAATCATCAACTTCTTTCATGACAGACCTCAGTTCCTTTTTTAATGCAAGCCATACATTGATGATATTACAACCATTGATCCAATTGTGATTAATAGAAATTGTATCCCTCTAGGTAAAAATGATGCGTATAATTAACTATCCTTTAATTTATCATTAGAATTTATCATTAGAATGTTCCGCAAAATCTTACAAATATTTACCAAGTTCCAAACTTGATGATGCCATCCAGATGGCACAAATATAATCTCCCCTGCTTCTTGAATCACATCCAAATATTTTAACTTTGTGCTATCATACATCTTGTACTTTGTACGATCGTTAAGCTCCTCCGAAGCTGCATCGTATGCTAATTGTCCATAAAGATCACGGAGACGGTCTTCTTCGTGCGGAGGGAAGAGCAGCCACCTCTTTCTTCCAACTATATTTGCAGACCAGCTATATGATGTAAAAACATCTGCATGCAACGGAGTCCTGAGACATTAGTAACAGTTCAAATATAAGTTGATACAAAATAGCAATAAACTATTAAATATGACTCGTTTAAAGATGAATTCTAGCAAGTTTTACATGTTGCGTAAGTAACACAAGTATATTCTGTAACATTGGAAATGTATTTACCATGATTCTTTCGGACCCATATACACGAACATGTAATCGTCATTTAATTCGGGATGAGCGATATAGTATTCGTTCAACCAGTCAGATACAAAATATTGAGGCACTTCATAAATTGGAACACCGGGGAAGTTTTTCACGCAATGCCAATCTTTCAGGTACAACAGCGGCATCGTTTTAGAATAATTATTCCGCCTATAATTGATCCAGTAGTCCAAGTAACTTCCCACGGACATGTCATCCTTGAATTGCGAGTTGTAAAACTTTCTATTACAATCAGCAACTGGGACAACGGAGTGTCCTAGAAATTACGTCGCATTAGTAATCTCATCACACATAATCCCCAATGGAACTCTCCACCTACCGAAAGACGTGCGGAGCATCTCGAAATTGGGTGCATCTTCCAGCACCCACTCGCGCCTGCATGGCCAATTCTCGGTGGCCTGCGAACTGATAATACACGGTCTATTACGTATCAGATACTCGGAGAAGAAATCATTGTACGTCACCGTCGAATCGATCCGCTCGATCGTGTTCGGAACGCAAGCATCCTCGTTAACGGGGCACAGACTACTGTCAATCTCAATAAACGTTGACATGACCAAGTTTCTCCGGTCCTCATCGTCCGACTTGGCATGAAATTATCGCGTGTGCAACGTAAGGGCGACGAAGATGTTCCTCCTGTCCGACAACGACGCGAGTCTAAGAATCTTCATCTCACAGAGTCATCATCGACATGCATGACACTTCTCACCGCCAAGTAACACTCGCACCAATGCGAAGCTATCACGACCCTCCACGCTGCACGTCTCACGAACGACTGCGGCGGTTTTACGTCATGAATCAAACAAACGTACCTAGAATGGCAAGTGCGCTCGCGATTCTGACCTAAAGGCCTATCGATATAGAAAGATCTTCATCCGGTCGCCGCGAGATAGTGCGCGGCCATAGCGGACGGAGGCAGATGCGGAAGGCTACTACCTCCACCCAATACCCTCGGTATACACCTCCGGCCTAAGGGTGGGTCTGTCCTTCGTGCGGGAGGGGTCGCGTGAACGCGGCCGCGAGAACGTGTGTCTGAATCAACGCCGTTCGCTCGCTTCGTATCGCTTTCGCGCGACCGGCGTGAAGGAAGGGCGGTGCGCGAAGAAACGCCGTCGAACGTTTGCTCGCTTTCGGCAGCCGCTCGCATTCGCGTGTTCACGGAGGCGCGCTGCCGCCGCCACCGCCGCCGACGACGAGGACAATCGGATCGAAAGCGGATGGTACGCGGCGCTCTCCGCGCGCTCCTTCCCTGATTCCTCGCTCCTGTTCGCCCCCCTTCCTGTGACAAAGAGAGGGAGAGAGAGGGAGATAGAGAGAGAGAGAGAGAGAACAGGAGATACAGGGTGATAAGCGGAGAGAGACAGGAGAGGAAAAGAGAGAGACACACGAGCCCCCGGTACGTAGGTACGCTCCAGTCGTTCATGGCTGCGGTAGCACGAAGTGGGGGAAAACAAGCCGTGTAACAACGTAAGATCCCGAAAGCTTTATGCAGGAATATGTCAAGTTTAAAAATCGGTAAGTCCGACGATCGACGCGCCCGACCGGCCGCTCGCTCGCTCGCTCGCTCGTTCGTTCGTTCGTTCGTTCATTCGCTCGCTCGCTCGCTCGCTCGCTCGTCCGCTCGTCGCTTGCGTTCCACGCACGATGATTCGTAGCGCGTTTGTGTCATCACGTCGCTCTCGCCTGTCCTCTCTTTCTGTATTACGAAGGAGAGAGGAGAGCAGACGAGCCTCTCGTTTAGAGCCGCGGCTACTTCGGAGCCAGTTGTGCCTTGGTTAATTCCGCTCAGCGATTCCCTCGGTCACTTTCTCAATCGCCGGCGCTCCTTAGATCATCATGTGGACGGTAATCTTTTCACTAGCCGTAGTTTTGCGCATACCAATGCAACCGGGCTTCCCAAGGGGAAGGGCTCGCTCTCTCGTACGCGATCCAAATCGTCGGGAGCTGTCTCGGGAGCAGCGAGAGTGATGTACTGTGTCGATGCAGCGTTAAATTTATCATACGGAACTGACATTTAATCGATCGTGTATCCCTCGTAACCCATCTCGAGGATGCTAAGTGAATTCTCATGACGCGGAATAGAGAGGGAGAGCGAGCAAATTGGAAGATGTTAACGTTATTATGTATCTTGTTACATTTCATTGAATCAAATACATTCCTCATAAATCCTATTAGATATTGACTGTATTGAGTTGACAAGATCTATTTAAATCACAAACATGTCGATAATCATATTTTTTGAATTTACCTTGGATTCTTTTTGTCTTAACTGTTAATTATGATAGTTCAGTAGTGTTTGTGTATGCGTGTATGTGTGTGTATGTTTGTACGTATAGGTACTGTATATTTTTTTTCTATCGCATGTATGAATTTAGAATATACTAGAATAGATTGTATATTCAGTAGATATGTTGTTATTATGTTTACATACACATCTTTCTACTTTTGTTGAGTTGACTTAAGCCTAACCTTGTATTCAATTAACTGACGTATTAGGCCAAATTTTGTATAAAAATGTCATTAACTTTATATAATCTGTATTTATTGTGATATAATATTACCATCACTCTTAGTCACAGAATATATATTGCATGTTTAGGAAAATTAAGCACTACAATATTAATAATAAATTTTAAATGAAAAACAGGCACACATATGCACAGGATGAGTCATTCAACTTTATAACCTATAACATAGTCTACAAACCACTACTAGTACTATTCTTCTAGTTTTTACCATAATTAGAAATTCTTAGATGTTTACTGTATGATGTCATAGAAAGAGAGAGAGAGAGAGAGGGAGAGGGAGAGAGGAGGATACATGTCATCAATATTATCAGTAATATGAGCAATATATTAGAAAGCCATAAAATTATCTTTATTAATTTTTAGTCTTTAGTGATAAAAGATAGAAATAACATTCTAGGACAAAAAGTTAGGTGACTCGCTCTGTCTATTAATTTTTAATAACTATGATAATGTTTTCAAATTGTCTATTTGATGATCTCATGTTAATGACTGTTATTTTATTTTTTTCCCAAAGTGTTGGTAATGCACTTGCTTGCGCTACCCTTGAGAACGATGGATTCTGACCAAAGAAATCAGCAGGTGCATCAGCACTGAACAAAATACAAAAAAGACTAAATAATGAATGCCTGCTGCACTCACGCCGCCAACTCTGTACAAGCAGACTTAAGATTTGTTGAAGTAGTACGTGAGTAGCAGCTACTCACGCCACACTCTCAGCTGTATATACCAACCTAAATACATATATATACATATATTGTCACGCATATATATGTATATATATTTATTTTATCGCACATGGCAGCCATGAAGCATGGTACGTTTTATTTTCGTATGCTTTGCTTTGTATGTAAATTTCTTTCAATTTGAATCGTATACAAAAGCTCATCAGGTTCACATAGAGGCGTGTTACTTTGATTGTAACTTGAGCCCTGCATATATTTTGCAAATTTATGTATGTACTTCTTTAGGAACATTAAAATCTTTTTAGTTTTGTGATCTTTTTCCACTTTCATGCTCAGTCCACGAAATTGGATGTTGCGTGGATCAAGCATTATTGTATTGAGTGAGATGTTGCTCTATATATAAATTTATACAGTATTATATATTATTGTGTATATATTAGAAGAAGAGAGCGTGTGACAATCAACAATAATAAGCTTGACTTTATTTCCTGTGCCTGATTATGACCAAACAGTATAAGCAAAACCTGATGATCTTGTTATACTGTAACTTCACTAAAGTTACACAGTACGTGTAAATCTCTCTCAATGTTTATAATCAACAAGAACAGCTGGCTGAGAAGCTGGTAGTTTATAATCTATAATGAAATAAAAATTATATGTACGTTAAAGTCTCGATAAATATGAATGTTAACAGAAAATACTTAGTTTAGTACACAACCTTGTAGTACTCAAGCGTTCGTGCTTCGTGCGTTAGTATGCGCAAACGATATTTACTGCGAAATATATTTCAGGCAAGACGAGTCAAGACGACGTGTGTTACGTTGTCGCCAAATATGATTACGGAGCACAGGGCGCCCAAGAGTTAGATTTACGTAAGAATGATCGCTACCTGCTCCTGGATGACTCGAAGCACTGGTGGAGGGTGCAGAGTGCGAGAGGACAGGCGGGTTACGTGCCGAGCAATTATGTCAAGAAGGAGAAGCCCTCGCTTTTTGATAGTATTAAGAAGAAAGTCAAGAAGGGCTCTGGTTCTAAGACCTTGCCATCCAGTAACTCGCCATCCCGCGCAGTCGAATCGCCCGTTATGGCGCGACGACTGCCGGCTGATCCGAGCGAAGCAATCGGCACCGCGGTCGTCAAGTATAATTATCAGGCGCAGCAAGCGGACGAATTGTCCCTCGTGAAGGGTACTAGGATCTTGATATTAGAAAAAAGCAATGATGGCTGGTGGAGAGGTCAGAGCGGCACCCAGGCCGGTTGGTTTCCGTCGAATTATACTCAGGAGGAAGGCGACGCCGATGATACGCTGCATACGTATGCGATGGCCGAGAACGTGCTCGATATTGTGGTGGCCCTGTACTCGTTCTCGTCTAATAATGATCAGGAGCTATCGTTCGAGAAGGGTGACCGCCTCGAGATCCTCGACCGTCCACCGGCGGACCCCGAATGGTACAAAGCAAGAAACAGCCAGGGACAAGTCGGCTTGGTGCCGCGCAATTATCTTCAGGAGCTAAGCGAATATTTGACACAGCCATACCGCGGTATGACAACTAGTGAAGTTAGCACAGGCGATTCCTTGGAACGAAGGCCAGACCCCGGCGATCGGCCTCATCTCGTCGGCAAACCTTGGTACTACGGTAGTATTACGCGCTCGCAATGCGACACGCTGCTCAATCAACACGGCCACGATGGTGATTTCCTGATCAGGGATAGCGAGACAAACGTGAGTACGGCTGCTTTCTCAGTCTCGAAACTGCGCGTTGATTATTATTTACTTGTTAATTCTTGAAAAATTTCAGATGGGCGACTATTCGGTATCCTTAAAAGCACCAGGACGTAACAAGCATTTTAGGGTACACGTGGAAGGAGCGCTCTACTGCATCGGCCAGAGGAAATTTCACACATTAGATCAGCTCGTAGATCATTACCAGAGAGCCCCAATTTACACCAATAAACAGGGCGAGAAGCTGTACTTGGTGCGCCCATTACCAAAAGGCAATTCTAGTAGCAACGGTTGCTAGGTGAATTCGTGCCATGATGAAGGAGACAGTCCATGATGCGCTTTCAGATGTATCGCTAAGATACTCGACGCCTGCCTAGTAATATCAATATCACACATCTCGTACGTTTATACATAACAATTAATATAATTGGTCTACTCGTATATTAGTGTTTCTCAATTGTTTCTCCATTTACACAGCGACGTATAATTTATATTACTCTAAGTGATCGGTAACTGTCATACATACATAGACACACAATACACACCACACCTCGGAGCTTCCAAACTACTACTATTACTCAGCAAACGAACAAAGCATTTTTAATACGGCAGCTACGTGAGACATTCGAACTAGTTGACAACACAAGGCTTATCTTTATATTCATATGTAATTGTAAAAGGCGAAAACCGACCATGTTATTACGATTAATAATATATTACAACTACATATAATATAGACTGCAAGTGTAATGAACAAGTAATAATTAATTATGCAATTACGAATGATTAAGTGGATCTCTACTCTGGAGCTATTGGTATTGAATTATAACAAAGACTAAGTGTTCATTTGTGATTTTGTATTTATTAGAAGTTTTTAAGTAAATAAACTGTATTTAAGTGTGCATAAGACGCATCTACTCTTTCAATCTCTTCCTCCGTCTCGTGTCTACCTTATACTGGTAGTACAATATATATATATATATATATATAATCTTTGAGATGATATCGTGTAATTCCCACTATATTTCGCAATTATTCTCTTCTCTATAAATATACATATTTATATCATTAATTTATAACAGGAGTTAAAACGCGCTTGAATTTCTAATTCATTTAAACATTTGTATCACGAGGTAAACAGGAATACAGCCGTAAGTAAGACTCACGCGATTAGTAACAAATATTAATCTTTATTAACGTGTATATTATATTCATAAATAAAAGTATTATTTTATTTATATAGATATGAGATTGGTGCGCTCCTGGGGATAAAAGTTAATGGCACTAATTGCCAGTAAGGTCACGTATAACAATTCGCCTAGTCTAAATGTATTTCAGTTTCGCATTGTTTGTTCGTAAATCCGTTAAAAGCTTATGCGTACTTAATCATAAGAAGGGGTTGTTCGAATTTCTTGTCATGTTGCTTACACCCGTGCCCACCTGAAACATGATGAAATCTGAATGAACGAGAATGCGATGAACAAGATTCATCGCCAATTCGTGCGGGAGATCACACGATTGTGAATTTACCATGAATGGATTTGCGTGATACGCCGGAACTGTCGGTTGCCACACTTTATTCGCTAACGGCGTCATGAGCTGACTGAATTGGAGGACGTCTCCGTTACTCGCTGACCCGATGCCTAGCCACTGCGGGTCTGAAAATTTATTTTCAAGTTGTACAATTCAGCATTGATACAATCGTAAACTGGACTCACTTTGTAACGCGGCATTTCCCTTCCTTTTTTTTTTAATCACATTGCGCACCGACATGATGCAATTTATCAGCAACTTATCGATATTTGAGAAAGTAACGAGAGCGTAGATATGCAAAATCTAAATATAAAACACAGAAAAGGAACATCGTGTCGCGTAAGACTATCTTCACTGTTACAAAGTATTCTCTCAACTTTGCACGATACTAGGTAATTGTCGAGAGAGAGAGAGAGAGAGAGAGAGAGAGAGAGAGAGAGAGAGAGAGAGAGAGAGAGAGAGAGAGAGAGAGAGAGAGAGAGAGAGAGAGAGAGAGAGAGAGAGAGCGAGAGAGAGAGAGAGAGCGAGAGAGAGAGAGAGAGAGAGAGAGAGAGAGAGAGAGAGTTCCACCGCTGTGCGACTTACCATTATTTACAGGAAATGTAGTCGGTTTGAATGGATTTGCAGGATTGCACAGAGAGCTATCGACGGGTTGAGTATTATTATTGACTACGTTCGCAGGCGGCCGCCATAAATCGCCACCGGTGAACGGATTCGAGATGACGTGTGGTTGATTGCTCACGATGCTCCATGTGGCGTTTGGTGCTAGAAATTGAAAGTTTCACCTATTTTAGTACTTCACCTCGCGCGAGCCGCGTAACGACGAATGCGCCACGTTAACTCGGTCGATGAAGTCATTCGGCGGAATTGAAGCGGATAATCCGCTGAATACGCACCATTCGAATTATTCGCGTTCCATGTAGACGCGGATAGGGTGCCTGTGGTCTCCTCTTTCAGTTGCGTCTGCTTCATCAGCGAGTCTAAGTCTTTGAGTGCCGCGTAACGATCTTCCGAGGGTGGCGCATGTGCCCCGTTCATATTCATCGTGGAATTGCCACCGACCTGATTAAACATTGCCGACGTTTCCGAACCTCGATAATAAAATCATCTCATTACAAACATCGTCCTGATGATCTCGCGATTGTTTCTTTGGATTGTTCTTAACACGAAGAGAAGGAGGATACGCGCGGCTGGACTGCTACTCACTGTTTGAATTATTGAAGACTGGATTGTTATCGAAGTTAGCGAAGAACGGCTGAGGCGCGATCGGTTGATTCGAGAACTGGTTAGCCGGCGTCGTCGAGCAGAAGGGGTCGGGAACTTTGCTGAAGTCGGCGACGAAGTCCGTGGAGAAATTGTTCGTACTAATCGGCGCCGCGTTGCTCGTCGATCTCTGGTTGTTGACCGGTGCGGCTAGTGTCGTGGACGTGCTCGAATTCGGGACTCGCGGAATGTTGTTTGTGGACTGCGACTTCTGTTGCACCACCGTGTTTTGATTCGCGATCGACGGGTCCAGGTAGTATCTCTTCAGTTCGTACTTGGCGCTCATTAGGTCCTTCATCTTCTGCTCGTCCTTGGTGTCGAAGTTCTGGGGTGAATTCGAGTTCATCAGACCGAGCCATATTCTCTTGCAATACTCGTTCCCGTGCTCCTTTATAAAGTCTATCTCCTCCTGACTGAACGTTGCCATAGAAATGGACTTTACTCGATGCGGCGGAGTCAACCCTCGCCTGCAAGCACAAATGAAGAGTTTGTAGATATGCTGGAAACATCCCACCGAGGATATTAACGAATGCACAAAGTCGCAAGAGCGAGCATACCGGTGTAACTTTGTGAAGCGAGCATTCGTACAATAAACACGTTTTCGTGTCTCTGTGTCTTTGTTGTGTCTGTGTTGTACGCAAAGCATATTTTTCGCTATCCTCTATACACGGAAAGATACACATATGCTGCACTCCCAAATAAATATTACTTGTTTCAAGTATTTCATAAGTTTATACATTCCTCATTCTATTACAAATCACATCATCATAAGCATCAAAATTTAATCAAAATTCATTCTGAGTCCTGGTGAATCTAGCGTTTCGACTAAAATTATTCAATAGAAACAAGAACATTAAAGCAAAAATTCGACTTGTTTTTCCTATATAAAATGTTTTATAATATTCGTGGGAAGAGAACAGATTCTTCTTTTGACTATAATCTCCTGAGTATAATGAGCTTCTTAAAAACGTATGTGGTGAGTGTATCTGAAAACTATTATCAATAAATTCCTCGTTGAAAATAACCATTAATTAAAAGAAGAAAAGAGTAATCAAAGTAATCGCTTTTCTTAGCAGTAGAATATCATTCTTCTTTATGTAGAGTTCGAAACTTTCTTACGGATCCAGAGTCGATGAAAATTTCATTCTACTTCATTCATAATAAGATTCTACCGTATAATGTTAGGTGCCTTCACAAAGCTGCGTCAAAGTTGCAAAGTGGAGCACTCGGTGCGCGATAATCGACGGGAAATTGCTTTAAATTTCAAACCGTTCCAATCTCTCTCTCTCTCTCTTTCTCTTGGAAAATGTGGAATAGGAACGATGGAAATCAATAGGGGACACGCTTACACACGGTAATTATAATTACATCATCGTGTGCCTCGTATAATTAAACTCGAACACGCGGTCCACCCCGGATTTCTACCTTTCACCCTACGGCTTCCTCGACTTTCCAGCGTTAATCGGCCCAAGTGCGCGCGACGCGAATAACGCTCGCGTGCGTCTAATACGACGTAGCACATGTATATATGCTGTTAATGCGGTAACGAGATTTAAAAATCGGCACGTGTGCGCGCGCGCGCGCGTGCGTGCGTGCATGCGACCACCTCGCGCGATGCGGTCCGCGATTAAAAGAACAAGTCGATAGTCGTTCTCGCACGTATCGCGCGTGAGCGATCGCTCAATTTATTCGTCTCGTAAGAAATGAAAAGAGACGCGAAGAAAGAGAAGAAAAGAAGGATGCGCGCGATGAAGGAGAGGATTTGAGTTGAACCGAGGGAAAACGTGAAATCCGTCTTCTCTCGCTCGCTCGCTCTCTCTCTCTCTCTCTCTCTCTCTCTTTCTCTCCATCTTTCTCCCTTTCTTGGACTCTCGCGACCCATGACAGCGCAGTCACGGCAGTGTCACATATTTCGACCAATACTGATAACCAGAACTGCGCACAAAGAAAACGTCGACGACGGCTGATAGCGCTAACTTCCTGACTGTTGGACGCGCGGACGTTTAGCCCGATGACTCACTAGAGTCGCATTACCTTCTCTCCATCTCTCTCTCGCTCTCTCCTGCTCCTTTCCCTATCTATTTCTTTCTCTCTCCCTCCTCCGTCCTCCTCGCGTCCTGATATGACGCTGCGAAGAAGTCTGCACACGTGTATGCTTCTACGAAGTGATCTGTCGCATTGTAGAGACCGCGTGTCCTATATAGAGGCCCTTTAAGGACCGACACGGCGAACGACGTCGTCATCGCCGTCGACGTCGATCATCATGTCGCACTTGGCGGTCGACGAATTTTCTCTCTCTATTAATAGCAGAGTCTCTTTCTTTTTCTCTCTCTCTCTCTCTCTCTCTCTCTCTCTCTCTCTCTCTTTACATATCTATCGCGGCCAGGACCATGATTTGGAACAAAGTATGACGATATACAGTGACTCGACGAAGCCCCCCCGATGTAACCCCACAATTAACCGAGAGCCGCGACTTGGCGATTCACGCTGTCCACCTCCCCGGAACGCGAACATTAGCCTGGCCCATTGTGCCATTGATCTCGTCTCCGCTCTCCGGAGTTACGCGGCCAGGCTCCGGTGTCTCCTGGTGCGACGGTCGTCGTGAAGCTTCCCTTCGCTTCTCGCAGCGAGACGTTGACATTTGCTCAATGTCACGCTCGTAGCCGCGGGGCGAACGGTACGTGCATTTTTCCGCTCGGATAAGATCGGCTCGACCGTTGTGCGAGGAGTCGCGGAGCATAGGCGGCCGCGAGGATCCCAAGGAGAGGGTCGACGAGCCACGGTACAGGCCTCAGGACCGGTACGTCCTCGATAATGGCATATCGGAAGAGATCGGACGGAGCAGGTACTTACAGCATACCAGAGCAAGAGGTACAGACGAATGAGCCGATTGTCATGTTGACGTAAGTCGGCCCGCGCTGGTTGCAGTCGAAGCATTCCTTGTTGCCGGGCTGCGACACCAGCTCACGAAGCGTCTTCAGGTTCCTCTCGTCCTGCTTTCTCTTGGCGGACGCCATCGCGGACGCGCGGTTACGGGAGCGTCTCGGGACGGCGACGGCGACGACGACGACGACGACGATGACGGACGGACAGAGATTTGGTTGCTCTCGTTGCTGCAGAGTGCTCGGACGTGGGCGCCGAGCGGAGAACGCGCGAGTCACCTCTCACGCCGCACCTACAGAACCGACTGCGATGATGCGCTGTTCGGTTCGCGCTTCTCTTGTTCTCTCGCTCTCTCTTTCTCTTTTCGTCAGCTATTAGACATTACCGAGATGGACAACCTCGTGGGCTTTTCGGGGCAGAGAGTCACATCGCGATGGACCCAATAGGAGAACTCGTCTTCTGGAGACCCAGGCTGGTAATATTTTAATACACTGCACCTGCTCTCTCTCTCTCTCTCTCTCTCTCTCTCTCTCTCTCTCTCTCTCTCTCTCTCTCTCCTCTCTCTCTCTTTTTCCAGCTACATTCTTGTTTTTCTTGCAAATTTATTTCGTGACATATTGTTGTTATCACTTCATATCTGTTATATACACTGTAGAGATTGTATTCTCAGTTGGAGAATCATAAAAAAGATAAGATTTACGGAGAAATAGAGGGTGAGCTTTGGTGGAGAATTTTCTAGTTTCAGTGTCAGACATGCAACGCCCCCTGGTAAATGCATGGAACATGAACTTTCACATTTTTTTTCGGTTCAAATGGTGCCTCTGTGAACTTCTTCGTCACAGGATGTTTACAGCTGGAAACGCTCGCAGATGTGAGACGCGTATGACGTATTCGACGGCTTGCTGATGATTGTTGCGAGGATTCTAAAATGACAAGTTACATGGTGATCACGACGACGTGCGAGCTGACGATTCGGTAAACGTGCGAGCGAAATTTCGGACACGACGACGCCGATCGGCACTACTATCGTCATCATGCACGGCGACCTCATTCTGGCCGCTGTTTAACCGAACAACGCAATTGTCTCCGTTTTCTATGTCGCCTTGGCCCTTTGAATAAATTATGAGTGTGGACAGCGAGAATAAGTCGAATGAAGCGGCGATGGCGCCGTATGCTTCGTCGACAGAGCCGGAAAACGGCGCCGACGGATGTGTCGGAGGTGTACCTGTGACTCCAGAAATGGTGCTCCGATTACCTACTATTACAGATAGTATGACCGACTTGTTTCCGTCTTTAATTAAGTACCGTTGTTACACACCCTCAGCTTTTCGATATCTTTCCCTGTATATAATGGATTAGATCCCATGTATGATCAAGTGGTAAACCAATAACGGCTATTTTCAGAGTATCTCTGCTCGCCTGAGGCCAATATCTACGATATAGATTTCACCAGGTTCCAGATTAGGGATATTGAGACTGGTGCTGTATTATTTGAGATTACAAAGCCTCCTGCTAGTGGTAGGTACTAACAAGTTGGATATTGTGTCTTCATAGTTTATTTTTGACAGTCGTCAAATCGTAATTTTGTATCAGAAATTTTAATCGCGCATGTTCTGAGTGAAATTATGGTGACATAAATTTCTAAAATCTATCTTTGGTAAAACAAAATACAGTTAGCTAGTTTTTAAATTAAAATCGAATAATTGGCACATAAAATTTTGAATATGAAGTAAGTTATAAGTCAGTTTCTGTGTAAAATAATTTCATAATAAACAGCATATATATTTACAAACACACATGATTGTTACAAAACAAATGAAATTGAAATGATATCAATATTTCAATTGTACTTGTTACATCTGTTAGAATGTGATACCCATCAAGATCCAGAGCCAGAATGCGAAGAACTTGGATCTGAGGATGCAAATACAGGTCGCTTTGTGCGCTATCAGTTCACGCCGCAATTTCTCAAACTGAAAACTGTCGGAGCGACAGTCGAGTTTCTCGTAGGGCCTAAACCGGTCAATAACTTCCGGATGATAGAACGACACTTTTTCCGAGACAGGCTGCTGAAAACCTTTGACTTTCAATTCGGATTTTGCATACCAAACAGCAAGAACACATGCGAGCACATTTACGAATTTCCAACATTGCCTGCCGATCTGGGTGAGTCACTTTGGAAGTCTCGTGATGAATCATTGTAGGAACGTATAATTTAAGAAACGAGTAATAGTGATCCTGACAAGGCATACGACATGTATCTTTGTATCTTTACAGTTTCCGAAATGATCGCGAATCCGTTCGAAACGCGCTCCGACTCGTTTTATTTCGTCGACAATCAGCTTGTGATGCACAATAAGGCCGACTACGCATACAATGGTGGACACACGCACGATGTATTGTAGTGTGCGGCTTGTTGATTAGTACTATTGCAAATTATATAAATATTGAATTTTTTATAGTATCGCAGTTACACATGTTACAGCGTTACGATGACGTATGAGCTGCACGCGTTTGATATATTTCGTCTTTCGGCACGAGAACGAGCTTAAAGATTCTTGCGAATTGGCATCGAATCACCGAACACACGCGAGTATTGTTGCAACGGAAACGCTTTCTACAAGCTCTCTCCTGTTTCGTCGAGAAGTTTGATCGTTGAATAGTTCCTATTTTTTTCTTTATAACGCACTATTTATTTGTAAGTTATTGAGACAAAAATCGTCGTACTTAACTTTATAAGAGACTTTATTAGCGTTCATTCTTGTGTGATAAGCTCGTCCACGACAAGCATTGCCGTTCGAGTATGTGCAGCGCACCGACACATGGCCTTTAAATAGAACTACATTGTGGTTCGGCACAAGATCTGTTCTCTCTAATCTTTACAGTACAGCCTACACAGATTTTCTATGGCAATATGGAGAACAAACTGCTAAGAGAGAACGAGAAATTGACAAGACCTGTGTTCTTCGAGATTCGCAGTGGCGCTTTTCGCACCGCGACAAACCGCGATTTCTTTTTACCGGATACACGACTACGACGCGTTGTTTGGGTACTTTTCACCTTGTTCTGTAATTATTGTGAAGTTCTCACCCGAAATACATGTATATATATATTTACAAAGGATATTTTACGATTGTTCTTCACGAGTATGCGTGTATATGTTCACAAGCATCACGAAGGCAAGGGACGGTTTACAAAATTCGTTAGAACTGCGACGAATTCACTAGGATTGTCCGCGTGAACCCAGTGATTCGCTCCGTTTATATAATGGAACTCTGCGCGTTGAAACAGCATCTTAATCGCGTCGTGATCCTTCAGTTGGATGTAGTCACTGTTGCCACCGCCAATGAATAACGTCGGGCCCCGGTAGACTTTTGTACCAACATTGGGAAACACGGCTATTTGTGTCGAGAATGCCTGCTCCAGCACTGGCAGATTAACTCGCCACTTGTACTTTCCTGAATCTACCTCCACCAAGTTCGACGCTAAGAACTACACCAGACAATGTAATGCAAATATAGTCTTCTTATGATAATCTGAGCTCAAGAAGAATCTGGGAACGCCACATTACCTGGCGTAATGCGAGAGGTTTGATGAATTTAGCGAATTGCTTGTTCACCATCTGGCGTGCCTTGGATAGATTAGGACTTCCGTCCACGTTTACGGAACGCATTGCTTCAAAGATTGTTGTCATCTGCAAAAGATTAGGGCTTGCGCTTATGGGAGACATGTCGACAACCACAAGTTTCTCAACATTGTGCGGATAGTGCAAAGCGGTGTACATCATGGCTGAGCCACCCATACTATGACCGACTAAAAGAGCCTTCTCAAAGCCTAAATCATGCATAAGATGAACAATATCCTCCGCCATGTCCTTGTAAGACATGTCAGATGTATGTGGAGAATCTCCATGATTCCTGGCATCCACTGCTATGACCTGCATATTGATTTTTACTTTAAGCTTTATGAATTATTTGAACAACAATGGTTAATTGTATTACATAATTTCTCTTAATGATAATCTAGAAATAAAACCTTGTTTTCTCAAAGGAAATGAAAAGTGAATATTACCTTTTTCTTAGTACAATTTCAATTATATTTGTAAGTTATCAAGAAACTACCTTACGCTTGGTTTTTTCATGAATCACTTTTGACAGGGAGTTCCAATTGCTTTTTGAACCAAACAGGCCATGCATTATCATAATAGGAGGCTGCGCATTCTGTTCATTTTCCTTTAGCGACTCATACGAAGCATAGGCCAGTTTGACTGGTATTCTTAAAAATAAAAAACAGAGAAAGACAGGTTAAACAAACAAGTTAAGGATGAAAGTCTGAGCGAATACGACTTATAATTGAATGAATGCGTACCGTAACGGGTTACAGTGTAAACATTGGCGATAGGAAGAATGTAAGTTATTGGCTGAATAAGACAAACCGATGAGATTTCTCGTCCGTAGGAACGCCGATGCATTTCGACCTATCATCATTAACCTAATTGTAAATCACTTGTATAACTTTGATGGACTTTTATATACCTGCCGCAGAGACCTCTAACGTGCACATGATCGCAATTTGCAAATTAAACTCTGTCGGCTAAATTAAACTTTGTTTCTTTTTCTTCTCGTGTGTAGTGTGCGAATACAATTTAAAATACATTTTCCCCTTGTCCCTTCGTGTTTCGCCGGTTTATCAACGTCGGATAAAGTGCCAGCTTCAATTTGTCGACTGCACAGTTTATGCAATCGACTATTGCGAAATTCTCTAGTAATATTTTTGATATTCAATATTCATATTTGTGTCATATAAATCATACTTTTAATTTAACTAATTACATAATCAATCTGACATAATTATAATGATTCTTCAAGGAGGTTAGAACAGATTCTTTCTTTTTTTTTTTCAAGCGCATCAAGTTCATTGTTTATACCAGATTTTCAAATAAATTTCGGTAACGCAAATTTATTTAATAAAGATAATCGTCGTGGTGCTTGGAATATTATTACAGGCGACAACAATAAATTAATACTTTTCGAAAACGAGCGTTTTAAACAGATTCGCCCGCAACGTTTATTTTTGACAGCGTCACCGTCACCACGCAATTGCATACGTGGCGCTGTAGTAGCAATATGCCGCTGTGAAGTGGCAAGTGGTCGAGAACGAATAAGCATATGTCATTTTTATGATTGTACAGTGAATTCGGTGGTAAAAATGAGGTGGCTCGTGTTGTGCATATTATTTATCTCTTCCATTGTTGCAACGCATTGTTATTTCATCACTGTGGACGCACATGCCGAGGAATGTTTCTTCGACAAAGTCGAATTCGGCACCAAGATGGGTTAGTTCGACTACGTCTGAATTCCGTCTTTTCACTTTTCCTCATGATGATACAAAAACGAATAATTTTGATGAAAACGACAGTGCAAAGCGTAATTCATGATAATTTCCTACGTCGTCTTCTTATATTGTCGACAATCGACAATCGTCATTTTACAGTCTTATTTATTTTTATTGTATTATTTGTTTTATATACTTCACAATACAATTGTCAAAATTTATTTTTACTTGTACGCAATATTCACCATATTTCTTCTTTCTCTCTCGTGTTATTCATATGTTTCTTATTCTGTTATTTATCATTTTGTGTTTATTTACAGGACTCACATTTGAGATAGCAGAAGGTGGATTCCTGGATATAGATGTAAAGATAGTTGGTCCTGATGGTAAAAAGATTTATGAAGGTGAACAAGAGAGCAGCGGGAAATATACATTTGCTGCACATACTCCTGGTGTTTATACATATTGCTTCAGTAATCAGAAGAGTTCAATGACACCCAAAGTAGTGATGTTCAATATGGACATTGGTGAGAATCGAAAACCAAATGAAGACACTGCTGGTATTGAAGGTCAAGATGCAGATGGTAGTCATGGAAAATTAGATGATATGATCAAAGACTTGAGTACCAGTTTATGGGGTGTAAAGAATGAACAAGAATATATGCAGGTATTTGCAGTGGCTTGAGCCTATTTCTGTCAGTTAATAATTTCCAATAGAAGCAGCAAGAATTCACAAATTTTTGCAATTTCAGGTCCGCGATCGAAATCACAGAGCGATAAATGAAAATACAAATTTCCGAGTTGTAGTATGGGCATTTTTTGAAGCCATGGTGTTGGTCTTGGTGACATTAGGGCAGATCTTCTACTTGAAGCGATTCTTCGAAGTACGAAGAATCGTGTAATCTAGAAATAACACATAACTGAATCAATTTTATATGTAATTAAATTATGTCTAATTACACTTTACATCATCTTTGCGGTAACACACATTCTTCATCTTTTCCAAGTTAAATCGAAATTCTATGTCATTAGTATTAAGTGAAGGTGTTTCCTACAGATCCGTAAGATTTCTAATAAATGAAGAATTTGTAACAGTACAAGATATTTAATTGAAAATATCCGCTGGATTGTAAATGGTTTACCTTAATTATGTATATTAATGATACAGATCGAAGAGAACGTATATCTGTAATAAAAAAATGTACATACTACTTTCACTGTATTCGCTAGCGTTGCATTTAGACGACGGTCAAGTTTCATTTTGTGTTTATTTTCACGTCTATAAAGCGCGATGATGCGATAATAACAGCGTTGCTAAATATTGATAATCTTACGGAATGAGAGTTCCATGTCACGTGTCTCCGTATACCTGATTGATAATACCTTGATTGATGAAGAGCAGAACTAGCACACGATAATAGGCAAAAAGAGCAATCGAGAAAGACTTCCTCACGGAGAGAAAAATGCATAAGAAACACGCGATAACGATCGGACTGCGGCGGCTGGCATTTTTTTTTCGAAGGCGACGTATCGAGCCATGATAAAAGCCTTCGATTAATGTTACCCCGTTAAGCGCTGGTCGAGAAAAGGGAACAGAATCTACTGCAATTAAGGTGATCGATCGCGCGTGTCGCTTTGATTGGGGGACGGTAAAAGGGACAGATTAATCGACGGCGATTACCGTATCACTGCGCACGGATAAACGTACTTAATGCGTATCTCGACAAATTTATATCGCGACTGCGGGCTACGGCGACATGCGTTAGCGACGTTTTTCTGTAAAAAAGTAGACGCAACTTGACGGAGCGCTAAGATGTCGACAAGTACGTCGCGCGAGAAACGAGTGTTACAAAAGCGGCGCGCGCACCGTTCCCTATAATGTAATTTAATGAATTTTCGATTATTACATTGTAACCTCGAGAGTGTGACGTCGATTCGTGAGAGCCGGTGGGAGAAAATTGCGAGATTCGCGGCGGATAACGGATGCGGCGGATCGGCGGGGATCTCGAAGGAGCCGCCGCTAATTAAGGAGAACGATTGCGCGTAACGGTATAATTAGAGGGAAGAAGAAATCAAAGCGCCGGGGTGCACCGCTGGATAAACCGTATCTCTTCATCGCGAGTCGACTCTAACGAGCGGGGGATTATAAATGGTGGATGTTTATCGTCGCGCGTAAAACGCCGATTACAGACAAAGGCCCCGTGCTCACAGCGCGCGCATTTACCGCGCTAAACGCGCCCCGTTCTCCAGCTCCTTATCGCGCATTAACATCGAACGGGTGCGATCCTCGGCGATCTGGATGACAGGACGAGGCAGCTGCATTTGGTGCTAAACGCTTCTGCAGTGGCAACGAGATTCGTCTCGGACCAGCACCGGAATTGTTTCCTCATGTTGCATCGTCCAGCGTTGAACGCATCTTCGGGATTTTCGAGAAATTAACAGGTGATTTAGAAATTATATCAGAAAGTTTCTCCGACAATGAGATCTTTTTACCAACGTTTTATATTGATTAAAATTAACTTACAATCGATCCCCTCGAAGGACATCAAGGACTATCCGAGGTATCGTTTCTCAAGATTGGCGTCCGGTTGCACGAAGGCGCGGCGGGCTCGAAGGATACGCAGGATTAATTGGCGGGTCCGATCGCGCGCTCTGCTTCGCCCCCTTCGTCCCCACCTCCGCCTCCTCCTCTCCATCTCACGGCGATCCCTTCGAAGGGGTTGCACGCCACGTCGGGTCCTGCGAGAGCGGAGAGAAGAAAAAAAAGAAGCGCGCAGAGGAGGAACGAAAGAAAGGAGCTGCTAATTGACACGGGCGATTGCACGTAACGGTATAATTAGAGAGAAAGAATACGAAGCCCGGGCCGGTGCACCGATGAAACCAATGAACCAGCCACCGCACGACAAGGAGGGAGGGAAGGTGCGAGAGAAGGAGAGAGAGAAAGAGAGAGAAAGAGAGCGCGAGTAGAGTAACGAAGGGAGACGAGAACGGAAAGGCAGAAAAGCAGCAGGGGAGAGAAGCAGCCGGCGGCTTTCGTGCGACCATCGAGGGGTTCCCTCTCCAGAGAAAGAACCGCGGGCCTACGATGAGAAAGAGAAAGAGAGCGAGAGGCAGAGAGAAAGAGGAGAGAGCAAGGCGCTGGCTGGAATGAGAGAAAAAGAGTGAGAGTGAGTGAGAGAGATAGGAAACAAGAGAAGGGGTACGCGGAGGAAGCAGTAGCGAGAGAGAGAGAGAGAGAGAGAGAGAGAGAGAGAGAGAGAGAGAGAGAGAGAGAGAGAGAGAGAGAGAGAAACATGATGAGGGGTGGAGGAGAGGGAGGGAGAACGAGAAGAGAGGGACCATGGGCTCGTGGACCCTGCCGCGACCATTCTGTACCAACACGCCGCGCCGGTCGGTTTCGCAGCGTTCCTCGTGCCCCCTTCGATATTACCACGAGGAGTTCTCCAGCGAGCGAGGTCGCCTCCCGACAGGGATAGGAGAGAATCTATCCTTGAGAACGAGGAGACGTCGCCAGGACCTTATCCGCGACCTCCTCCGTCCTCAACGTCCTTCTCGCCGCGGGATGCGAGTCGCGGACCGCGACGACAGGACGCCGCAGGACGGGACTCGGGAAGTGCTCCGGTGAAAGGTGCCGCGAGAGTTCCTTTTTTTTTCGAAGGGGCCCGACCTCGCGCCGGGACCAGAGCGGCTTCTTCTTCTTCTACTACTACTACTACCACTACTACTACTACTACTACTACTACTACTACTACTACTACTACTACTAATACTACTACCACTTCATCATCGTCCGGATACGCGAATCCACTTCGCGAAGAATCTCTCACGATCACTCTGTGATCCTCCGCGGTCCTCGGCCGCGGATCTTGCGATCTTTGACACTTTAAAGGAGCGTCGCTGATGGGCTCCTGAGAGATTTCACGACCACCTGAAAAAAAGATGACGAGTTAATCTCGATTCCCTGAGATTCGCGGATCGAGAGTTTCGAGTCAAGAGACAGTTCGTCTGCGCGAATAGTTGTTGCAAACAAAAACGAATCTGCGAGTTCAACAATTACGAGCGATCCACAGGGGAGTGGATCGAAGAGTCGCAGTCACGGGCAACTTGCTGCACTCGACAACGGGTTGGTCGAGATACCAACGAATGATGCACCTAGGTATCTCGCTCGTGGCTCGTCTCGAAACATCGTAGGTCGACGACAGGTTTCCAAATAGGACGAAGGACGCATCTGCGAGCGCACCCGCGATGAACAGTGAGACAACAGGTTGAACATCTTCGATACACACCGAGCAGCAATTAACGCGAAGCGCTGACGATCGGGCGCGCATCCTCACGGTCGGTCGGACAGACAGACAGGCGGCTGGGACGAAGATCCCTTCGGAACGAGGATTTAATGGCGGTGTTTTGCAGTTAGCCGCCAATCAGTGCAGCTCGTTTGCAGTGGGGCTCGCAGCAGCGGCCGCCGAGTTCGGCGGAAATTATTCCGTCAAGATCGCAATCGCGCGCTCGCGCGAGAGCAGCCCGGCCCGGCGATCAGGTTTCGCCGCGAGAAGAAATCTCACTCTTCCAGGCGCGCGTTCTCCGTCGCGCTGCGCTGCGCTGCGCTGCGCCGCGCTGCGCCGCGTCGCGCTGGAGAAAGATCGCCGAGCACTCACCACGATCCTCGGCTCGATTCTCGCGAGAGTCGGGACCGGGAGAACTAATTATGCGAACTGGTGGGCACTGTGGGCCGCAAAATGAGACGTGAAACGGCGCCGCGTCGCGTCGCGGGCGGAACAAGAGGAACGCCCTCGCCCACGGGAAGAAGAGGACTCGCGGAAATCTTCTCGGAGAAGAGGAATCGATCCCCATTGTGATCGGCATTAGCGCGAGAGCTAGAGCGGAACGAAGCGAGACACCAGCAGCAGTAGCAGCAGCAGCAGCAGCGGGGTCATCCCGCCGTCGCCGAGTCGAGCAGAGTCAAGCAAAGCCGCAATTACCTCTCTTTGGTTTCTAACGACCACGGCTCATCCCGTTCGGTGAGTAATTATTCAATTAAATGGCGATTTGCCGAGGGTCACTGCGGCGTTCGATGTAATTGACAATTCGTCCTGGCGGAGCGGCCAACCGCTTCCCTCTCGTTAGACTCTGCGCTCGTAGGTCCCGAAAAATTCACTCCTGCCTCTCGCGATGGCTTTCCTCTTGCTTTCTCCCTTTTCTCCCAATTTGAAGATCCTCCACGAAATGCTTCTTGCAACAATTGGTTGTCGATTGCGTCCTGCATTTCGATAACAACAGCGGGAGCTACTTGGAATCTGCGTACGGGGAAGCTGAAACAAACAGGAGAGTTAAATCGCCAAGGATTGACAGAGTCACGATTATTATGATAAAGGTAGCAATAATTACAAGCGTTTGAAACAAGCGGAGATCGGTTCACGCGGGGTACAGCCTACCTACGGCGGATAGTATCGTGTCGCGTGCATAATAAACGAGCGCAGGAATAAGCAGGATGAATGCAAACCTCTGACATGAGCTCCGTTAATTATGCGAGTTAGCGGACAGTCGAGTAACTCTTATGTCACATTTTATCGCGGGTTTCGCGCGATACGCGCTAATTCGATTCTCCTCGTGGCGCAGGTCGCAGTAAGAACCCTCGTCAAAGAAACGGAGGACGAGTTCGCGAGGAGGAGGCGCGCGCGCGCGCGCGAGGAATCACGCGTATAGAGAGGCTGACTGCTGTCAGCCGTCGTAACAGGATCTCGTTAGCGGCCCAGTCGATATGGTATACACGATGATGGTGTACGGTGGCGGTCGCGGCCTGATAAAAGCGACGACCGTACAGATAAGCTTTCATCGGCGTGATCGTTCGACTGTGCCGCGCGCGATCGACGCGAGGGATCGATCGATCGGTCGATCGATCGGTCAGTTGATCGATCTCGCTTGTCCAGAGACGCGCTTTATTCTTCCGCTGTATTCATTATATTCGCAATGCTGCAACCCCAACGTTGCGCAAAGCAGAACTTTAAGTTCTGAAATCTTTAAGCTGTGCAAAGTAAGTAGAAAACAATACTAGAACTACCGAAGGAATTATAAAGTGACTTCTTCGTAATTTCGTAGAAAAATTGTTCAAACTTTTGTAAGGGTGCGTTTTAATTTTCAACTGACTTAAATTACTTTGTTTCATTGAGTTGAATTTTAATTTTTCATTTTGACGTTGAATAAAACTAAACATAAAATAAATAAACATGTTTTCCCTCTTGCGTTGCATTTTTTTTTTCCAAATTTCTCTCATTTTCATTTTGACAGCTTTGATGGAAGTGGGTCGCCAGTCGTCGGTAGTTCTAGTGTTAATAAGTTTAAATTGGAAAGTCATATGGAAGACATAAATTGCAGATATTATAATCTATATATCCGTTGAGTCGAGACGAGATAATTAGCGTGAGAATTTGTGCTTTCACCGGAGAAAAAGAATCCATCCGTGAATACTACTGTCGCGTCCACGAACGTCCTCAGAATCGAGCCTAACCGAGGATTTCCGCCTGATAATCGCTGAACCGGCAATGATTTACCGATGTCTCGGCAGATTAATAGGCAGCCCCCTTTTAACGGCTCACCGCGACTCGCCCGGAGTTCATCTCGCAAATGACCATTCCGTTATGCCTGGACTTTGCTCCACTTTGCGACCGTCACGAACAATAGCCGCGCTCCGGGAGCGTCATTGATCACCTCCGCACGAATGATTTCTCGCGATATGTAATTCTTCCTGTAAGAAATAATCGACAGAAGGTGAACGTACATCCTCAGACGCGATCAGCGTAAAGAGTCGATCGACGTCGAAGGAATGTTCGTGACGTTAACTGATCCAGTCGCCGCGAGTTTATCGTTATCGGGCTCACGCGTCACATTCTTACCGGGATATTTTCAGAACAGTGTATGCCTTTCTGCCGCTTTACTCGTCATCGTAAAATCGTCGGAAAAAATAGCGGCGATTTAATCGCAACCGTCGAATTGATCGCGAAGCTAACGCGTTCGCGCGCGGGCGCGAGACGCAGAAATAGGAGAAACTTAATCTCACCGTGCCGAGATTGTTGTGCTTTATGAAGGTGGCCGTTATCGAGTGAATAATATCGCGTCGAAACGTGCGCGCCGCCATTCCCTCGTCGATGTCTTTTAAACGAGGTGAAAAGCGTGTTTTAAAACTGTCGCGTTTTACGATCGCGCGCCATTAGCCACGCCGCGCGGAAATATTCACCGAGTGAAATATTTTACGCGGTGCATCACCGGCGAGATTACTTTTGCACGGGCCCGGACGGGGCCGTATACACGACGAACGTTGAACTGGCCCCGAAGGTGTAATCACCGGAATCATTCCTAGATCGCTTAGGGATGCGAGAGAGAAAGAGAGAAAGAGAGACGCGCGGCAGATAATGACGGCTCGCAATCTGGACTTCGTAATGCGGCATGATCGACAATGAGGCCGGGTACTCTATTACCTTAGATCAGACCAGTTGCGATTATCTTGGACAATTACCCCTCGGCTTCAGGGAGAGAAAAGTACTCGACGTCGACGTTGACAATTTGCGATCCTACGCGGGGACAATCTTAATTTTCTCCGCGTTGTTTCTGAGAGAATAATCATTGTCTCTAACGTGATGTAGCCGGCGGGTTTTGCTTTGTCCTTTATGCGTGAAGTCGATTCAAGCTGGAATTTAAAAAAATTTCTATAATGTCTACAATCGTATCATGATTTACGACAAGATATGAAAACTAAAATTCTTTTCAAAGTTTTTCATTAAGAGCAAAGACATCCTTTTTCGAGATAAAAATTTTATCAATGTTATCTACTTTTCGAGTATGTTATAGTTTGTTACACAGCACTGCTAGGAAATTCTGGTAGTAAATAAAACAGTAAAAACAATTTCTGATTTCAGTAAAGTTTTTTCGCGTCGAGTAATTGTGGATTTTTTAATGGATTCACAAGTGAAAGCACCATGTCATCGTTAAGTTCACGTGAGCTTGAGAATTTCCGAGGTGTGCGTCGTGATTGCAGTTACATTTATAATAACAATCCTCTGGAAAGAATGTACGATGCCGTTTCTGATACTTCCCAATTAAAAGCCCGTTCTCCCGGGATAAATTAGTACGGCTGAATGTTAATAAGGTACCTTCACGAAAGCGTCATAAAAGTTATGAGTTACGGCTCGACGGAGTACCGGATACCTACGCATGTACAGTGAGTGTAATCAACGATTACAATGTCCAACGAACACCTTTTGTTGTTCCTCTTGCGTACTCGTAAAAAGAGGCTATCCCTCTTGATGTACGTAATTACTCTTGCGGCGTGACTGCGATTTTTTCGAGGACTCTCATTCATCTTGGTCGACTCCGTTCATTTGACCGAGCATGTTTTATTGGATATCACGTTGCACTTTCTCGCTGAAAATATCGAAAATTACCCATTAGTAACCAGAAAGTGCTCTGCGAGCGAAACATGATATAATTAGAATTTCGTCTTGTTCCATTCCTCTCTCCTGTTTTTCGTTGCAAAAAGTAGTCCTGTATCTTGCGACAGAAAGCGAGATAGTAACGTATCGCGGATTAAGCAGGCTGTATCCCATTTCCATGGAAAAGCAAACTCTGTCTCATTTAAAACTCCCTATCGCTGATCTTCGTGCCGTTAAGGAGCAGAACGGCATTTTTATCGAATAGTTCGTTTTCCTGGAGTCAACTGGTTCTGCTGCTTGGTTCTATGATTGTTCTAGTAAGTCGTATTCCCGTGCAGGCCGTATTGACAATCGTCGACCGGTCTCACTGTACACGCTCCCCGCGCTTCTCTTCGTCCAAGTTCAGATCTCCCATCTTTTCTGCCTTCCTCCTGCCTTCTTCTTCTTCTTCTCCCTCTCCCTCTTTCTCTCTCTCTCTCTCTCATCTCGCTCCTTCGTCCCTTTCTCGCCGTTCGCACAGGGCTCCTTTTGCATCCCACCTTCTTCTCTCTGTCTCTCTTCCCGTTCCCGTCGCCCTTCCGGCCTCGTAGACAGCCTCTCGTTTTCTTCTGCGTACGTGCACCTCGAGTGTGTGCGCACCGTCCTTAGCTTCCAGCTTCGTTAAGAGGGCTCGAGTCGTCGTCTTGGCACTCTTCGTGAAAATCTAGAGCCGATTCCCCGGGGGGACCGTTCGATGCGACTCTCTTTCCCCCCCCTCTCTCTCTCTCTCTCCCTCCCTCTCCCTCTCTCTCTCTCTCTCTCTCTCTCTCTCTCTCTCTCTCTCTCTCTTTCTCGAACACTCCTCTTTCTCTCGCGCGCGCGGTCTCTTATCTAGTGAATACAATTAACGACCCGGCTGTGTATCGACGATCCTAATCCGCGCTCATGTCCCTAAGAATCTTAAATGCCTATGCAAATTTCGCCGTTTCTCCCGTTCCCTTTTTTCTGCCGTACTCCAGCCCGTGATCCAGCCGCGTTCAGTGGTAGTCCGCTCGTTTTTCTCCATCCCTCCGTGAAGAATTCGCCGGGCTGATATATCGCCGGTGCGCGGCTAGCCGACGAGGTAAATCATCGCTTCGAACGTTTTAATCTTCAGCGCGTTATGATCATTTTACGATTCGGCAGGTAGCGCGCTACCGGCTTCTGTCGCGGGGATTATGCAAGCGCTGTTGGCCGCGAGAGAAGTGCATCGTTATGCACGTGCATCTAATATCAAATGTCTCTCTATCTCTCGTTCCCTCTCGTTCTCTCCTCCTCTGCCGCCCCAGCCTCTCTGTCTTTCTTTCGCTCCGGGACCCATTATTATAACTAGACGCGTGCGCGCGGCCGCGCGTATGATGCAGCCGCGCGGAATTGGCAATCGGCTCGTACCCGTAACAGACGCGGTGGCGCTTATTGCGCTCTATATCGTCCGGTCATGTCTTGTTCAGCTCCGCGAGCCAGCGAGCGATACTTTATCGCTGATAATTCGAACCAGGCCCGCGCGGGACGTGTACGCCCGAAGAGCGCGCCGTTTACATTCCCGGCGTGATCACAAATGCATTTTATACGCCGGCTAATATCGCCGGCCGATCGCGTGGGCTAGATAGACGACGACGGTACTATATAAGCGCACGCATGTGTATACACGTGTACGTGTGTATACCAGTTCCGCGGCAGGGACGTAGCCGTCGTGTATTGTAGTGCTACTTAGCGTTCCACGAATATACCCAGGAGCCGGCGTTTCTACCCTTTCCGGGGAGAGAGTTCTGTGGAAAAAAAGATCGAGCATAGAAAGCACGCCAGAGAGACGAATTCTCGTGTGTTTCTTTCTTTTTTCTTCCAATTAGGCTTTCGTTAGGGAATCCCTACCTTCATTACTTGACCGCAACGACGATATTGTTCTTTCACCGAACCGTCATTTTGAAGAGCTCGACGGTTTTGCTCTCTTTCGTAGTCGGCAGTCGTGATCGCGACGCACATTGCTTTGTGTTGACGAGACTGGTAGAGGGAAGCTTCAACGAGGAGAGATTCGCGTGAGGATTCGCGCGCTTCAGCTACATCACTGCTCCGTGGGTAGCAAGCGAGCAGCTTCTCCGCGACCTGGCCTCGCTACGGAAAGACACCCGAGTCCAAGACGATTATGGTACATCGGTTCGACATTACACCTTGCGGGCGCCTGACGCGAGCGCGAGCGCGAGCGCTCTTCGCTCTCGCGTTGCACAAACTGTTGATACAAGCGCGGTCCACTTACAATTCATCCAGAGTCCGTCGCTTAGCCCGTTGTCGTTTGCATCACGCTTGAACACCTGAACGCGGCCTATCTGGTGCCGGAGAAGAAATCGCGACGAGCGTCGCGCGTTAAAAAGTGCGAGCTGCCTTCGGTATCTCTCGCGTACATCGTCGAGCTCGGCCGGCACGAATTGCTCGCTCGCAGACCTGCATCAAGCCAATTACGAAATGAAATTGCGAAATGCGCTGTCAATGAGTGGACAATAAGTTGATTCAGCTCTTGGCCCGCTAAGATTTATCTCTCGGAAAACTGACTCTTCAAGTTTCTCGGAGTGAAACCTCACTCGAAAAGTAGGCTGACCACTAAGTTACTCGAATTTGAGACTCGTAGGATGAGTCCCTCATTCCGAGTCGTCGAAGTAAATATTTTCTCTCGAAATTGAAAAGTGGATCTGATGTCCTCCATCGTCGCAGGAGCACACATCTCAAACGCTCGCTCGCTGGAATCAGAATCCACTGTAAGCTCGGGTGAAACTTTCGATACATTCTTGTGATTTCGCGGACGGCGATATTTTCACTGTCGCCTCGAGTGACGATGACGCCACTATCCACTTATTGTGAGTGAGATTCCATTCGAAGAAAACCAAAGAGGATATACCTGCTTCTTCGAATTCCTAACATCGACAAGCGTGATCATTCGAAAGCCGAGTTCGCTGGTCTCAGGTGCGAGGTTTCCACGCGACAAGCTCCGCTCTCCGGCGTCCGGAATCCACGAATACGGATCGCAGCGTTCGAATTCTGCGAGCGGAAGATCGCTCGCGGCGGACGCAGCCGAGCGCGGCGTTACGTTCGAGATTAAAAGCCTCGGTTTCCTCGGCCGCGCGGATCGCGGTCGTGATGCATCGATCTGACCTTGATTTCACCGTTTCGATCGCTGTTGCTTTTCGGCCGCCGATCGCATACCCAATTTGCCGGCCGCGACGCGGCGGCTTCTCCTAATGAAGCGATTAATAGGCGCGCTCGCCGCGACGAGGCGTACACGCAGATTCTCTGTACGAATGCTTGTAACGAAATCGCCGTTTCTTCTGATTGCTTGCAGAAAAATGAGAAAGATGAGGACAACGTGCGGCAACAGTTCACCTGTGGCCCTGCGATCGCTGTTGGTCGTCGCCGTGGCCGCCGCCTCAACGGTACCGGGGACCTGGATGTGAGTATCTTTCGCGTTGCATGCAGCGCATTTTTCCTCTTTTTTTCCAAGCGACCGATCGCGCGTTAAAGGTGTTAACCGGTTCCACGCGCCTATTTATAGTTAGACGGGACGTTGCTATTTTTTTCATTAGGCCTCGCGACTCTTAAAATAAGTCGGTGTCGAAGGACAAGAGGTGCCCTACATATCGCCGGCCGATCGAAGGGTGAAGTAACACGGCCGATGGGGTGTCGCCGTCACTGTGGAAACCCGATTATCCGAACTCTCGCGCTCTCGGCGAACCTTCGATTATTACGAACGCCGGTGATATCGGATAACCGGGATTTTCTATTGACTGTGTGAATGAACAATGCTGTACCGCACTCCTAGCAGCGGCTTGGGACTCTTTCACGCCGAGTCCGCGATTGCACCTCCTGATCGTGGAGCGCCGCTTCCCGCACGGATCTCGTTCGGTCAATCGATCGATGATATTAGCGCGTCGCGAGGAGACGACTCGCGACTTCTCACACGACTCTTCAACTTACGAGCCTTTATGTCCGCACAGAGAATCAGAGGTGGCACCGCGCGCACATCGTGGGAACCCGACGAGACGAGAGGAATCCTCCGTGCCCCCGAAAATCTGCCCGCGTGCAACCTCGTCCCCGTCTCGTTACCCTCGCCTCGAAACGGGAGTGTGTCTAATCTCTGAATTGCCATTCTCGCCCCTCAGTGTTCTATCCCGCGTGAGCATGACCAATCATCGAATGGTCCGGGCCGCTCGCGCCCGCGCTCCTTTGTGCGTCGCGGCGGAGATCGTCCCGTACTTTCTTCGCGTCGGATTCACCTCCTGTGTGTCCCGCAAGGAAATCCCTCGCTGTGCTCTTTCACCGTGAAGCCTCAGCCGTGAAGTCGCCCCGACTTTCGGCTACGTTCTCGCTCATCCTCGAGTCGAAGCAACGCCCGTGCGAGGCAGCGAGTCCGAATCCGCCGTTTCCGTTCGTTCCGCTCGATCTGCTCTCGCGTAGTCCGCCATTCCCGCGTCGCTTAATTCAACCGTCGCCAGTTGATTTAACACGCGCTGTCTCTCGCTCGGCTCTCCCTATCACCTGCAATCGTTCGCTCGCTTAATTAACACTGTCACATAACTTAATTATACTCGACTCGTTCGCCTTTTGTGTACACGCGTGTGAAACGCGACCTCGGCTCAGCCGCCTTCGGCTGATCGCCTCGGGACACCCCGTATATAAACGCGCGCCGACGCTGCGGATGTAGCTGCAATCTCTTAGGAGACACGGGGCATTACTTTTCGGACCCGCGGCCCACGACGCGACGACGGTGCGCCCCGCTCGCGGACGCTCTGCGTGGGCCGTGCCCCCTCGAAATATTATCGCTCTCTCCCCTCCCCCGCCCCATTCGCGATTGTCCGCGCCATTGTTTTAGGGGAGTGTAAAGCCGATGATATATCGCCGGCGGAGCGTGTTCCGGAATATTAATGTCGTCTATTACACACTCCCTAGACGTTCGCGCGGGCTTTTACGACTGTTCGCTCGATCGCGGCAACGCTCGGGCACGCTCGCGGTATCGCGACAAGATCGAGACATCGGGGAGAGGACTTCGTCCTGCCGGCCGGGAAAAACATCCCAAGCGGCCGGCGAGCGCGCTTCTTTTTTCTCGCCTCGAGTCGGCGGCCGCGATCGGAGTGTGCGAAACTGTGGGATGGCTGATCGCCTGCGCCTAATGGAGAAGCGACGGACCTCGGCTCTGCGATAACTTGCCGGTCGTCGACGCACCGGAAAACGCGTCGAACTGCCGCGTTTATCTTGGGCGACGGTCATTTCCAGTTACCGTGAGATTCGAACGCGCGCTTTATCTGCCAGAATGTTACGACATCCCAAAGGTGATTCATAGATTCGGAGGTTTCCCGTTGTCGTTCCTCAGCTAACGTGATGCACGCTGCTATGATATAGCCGAGACAAGCGCGTCGCATGACCGACAACCCCGCTGAGTATTCACCTGAGTCATGCTCGAGCAGGTCGTCCAGGTTGCACCGAGTCGCCATACAGGTTGTCGCGACTTCATCCTGCCTGGATCGCGGCCAGTGGACGCGTTCGGCTCGCTCGGGATGTAATTAACAAGTTTATCTCTGCAAGCTGCTTTAAATCTAAACTTCTCAGGCACGAAGCTTACTCAATATATGAAAGACTGTGTGACGCGTCTATTTGTCGCGTCACACTATTTATCAAACGTATTCTGTTCTGTTTGTACGTACATTCTATTCTTCTTCAAACGTGAGTGGAAGGCAGCGTGGTAACGAGCTCTTTCATCGGAACTGATGCGATCGGAGGCCGCATGAGTTACAATTGCCTGGCGGAGCGAATCGCTGGCGATTTTTCGGGGCGATTCCGCTCGGAGCTCGCGGGGATAAGCGCGGGGACGCGATTCGCGACACGGAGAACGAGCGGCGCGAGCGCGGACGCTATAGGAACGAAACCCTTGCTCGGCGTCGGCCGCCCGTTTCGAATTTCAGATTGTCCCCCCTCCCCTCCCCCCTCTCTCTCTCTCTCTCTGTTTCTCTCGGTCGCCCTTTCCTCCCCCGGCCCCCAGCTTCTGTCTTTGACGGTGCCGTTCCATCATCTCGCTCGGTTGACTCACAAATGTGCCATTAAGGATCCGGCGCGGAGAAAATCCGAGGGCCGCTCCTCGCCCACAGACGCGCGGGCCGTCCTGCGCCGCCCTGCGCCGAATTTATATAATCGGCGTAACAAATCTCCAGGAGTTAGGGTCGGCGCGGTCTCACTTTCGATGATCCTGCCGGGATGATGCACGCCTTCGGGATGACCCACACGGCTGGCTGCGTGGGTTCGTTCTCGTACCTGAGGAAAAGCGGCGAACAATAAAGGACTATAACAGATAACCGAGGAAATCGGCGCGGTTCTCGGCGTGGTAAGGAAGGTGGAAACCGCCGTAATCAAGTCTAGAATATATCGACGAAGTGACAAGTCGCGTCGAGATCGCTTTTCCGTAACGAATTGCTTTTTGCTCTCCGAACCAGCGAAATCTTCGCCAGCGAGGAGATCCGTATTATCAGAGACGATGTTGCAGTCAAGATTTCTCAAGAATATTTCTCGGTTACCTTATGCGCGACAGAAACCTCGGTCTACAACACTTCCCGCAACTGGAAGCGGCGCAGACGATGGAAACGTACGACGCGGGTGCCTCTACGATCTGCGGCGGTCTCAAGGGCTTATCTCAGGGCCAAGGAAAGCTCTGCCAGCTATCGGTAGATCACATGTCCAGCGTGGCCAAGGGCGCGAGGTTCGGCGTCCTGGAGTGTCAGCATCAGTTCAGCGACAGGCGATGGAACTGCTCCACCGTGCAAGACGAGTCCGTGTTTGGTCCTATGCTCCGAATAGGTATACGATTCGATTTTCAACGACAAGAATGTAGTAATCAATACAAGGGTTCGTCTAACGAAGATATTTGTCTTCAAATTAATAAAGAGACTTATCAGAACAAGACCTTTGTTCTTGTACTTATTTTTCTTATACTTTGTTTTCCTGTTTTCTGCCTCATCGGATACCGTCTAGAGAGTTAGAGGCACTGCGTGATGTGTGTTGCAGCGAGCAGAGAAACCGCGTTTGTTCACGCGATCACCGCCGCCGGAGTGGTCTATTCCATCAGTCGTTCCTGCCGGGACGGTCAGCTGTCGTCCTGCGGCTGTTCCAGGAGTAGCAGGCCCCGGGACTTGAATCGAGATTGGATCTGGGGTGGATGCGGGGACAATCTGGAATACGGCTATAAGTAAGCAGTCTACAGAGTCATTATGATCAAAGTGATTAAACCGACGATAGCAGTTGGACATTCGAGAGTGAAGAGACGCACACTCACTTTCGCAAATGTTACGCAGAAATGAGAAATTGTGAATAAAACATCTCCAGGTCTAATTACGTCGGGTATTTTTGTTTCTCGTTCCGCTGAGGCTTCAAATGGCCAAGTCGTGTTCATGTAAGCGGCTGTGCAGACGCGTGGTTGTATCCGCGATAGATTTCGACTACCGCAGCAACAAAACGTGTTCAGGATTAGACTGTACCCCGGTCGAAATTGAATCTCTCGCGGTCAATGCGGTTTCGCACATTTCACTGTGTGTATCATCTAGATGGAGACTTGGGAGACTTTTGCTTCTGCACAAATCAATGCTACTCTATTCATGGAACATCGGATGGATCAGTTATGTCGGTGCGGTTTAATCAAATAGATATTGAAATTGACGAGTGTGCGAAATATGTACTTGTATGTTTTAGGTTCACGCAGGCGTTCGTGGACGTGCGGGAGCGCGAACGTAGCTTCAAGAGGGGCAGCCGGGAGCAGGGTAGGAGCCTGATGAATCTACACAACAACGAGGCCGGTCGCAGGGTAAAGTTCGTTCTTTTTTTAGCGCTCGCAGAAGAAATGTCCCTTAAATGTCGCGCGTCGCGGACACGTGTATCGATTTCTCGCGATTTAATACGAATTCGCTGAAAGCCGTCGCGCCGTCACGAAACTAATGTGTGACGCCCACCTGTCCTTGCAGGCCGTCATCAAAAGGTCCAAGGTGACATGCAAATGTCACGGCGTTTCCGGAAGCTGCAGCCTCATCACCTGCTGGCAACAGCTCGCTTCGTTTCGCGAAATCGGTAGGTCTCGTTAATGTCATAAATTTTCCCACCTTCGATAACGCGAGAATCTAAAAGAAATGTCAAACCGTCTCTCACAAGTTCCAATGATCTAACAAACACGATGACGTATTAATGACATATTAATGACATCAGACGATGTATTAATCGCGTCATCATATTTGCTGGGAAGATATTAACCGAAATTTGTATTCTTCGTTTGGAGAAGATAACGTCGTTTGAGATGTCTTTTGAATATCTTTATGTGTCTTACATACTTAGACGTCTTTCAGACGTTTCTTAGACATTTATGTTCTGTAATGTTGGTACAAGCGACAAAACATCCTCGATATTTGTAGGTGACTTTCTATTGGACAAGTACGACGGTGCGACAGAGGTCAGGGTCAATCGGCGGGGCCGTTTGTCGGTGCGCGATCCGAGATTTTCTGTGCCCACTGCCAACGATCTCGTCTATCTGGACGACTCGCCGAACTACTGCCTTCTGAACGATACTCTGGGGTCACTAGGTAGCTCTATCGGAGAAAGGCATTATAAAGATGTTATATTTTTTTGCGGTCTCTTTCTCTTCGCTTATCCGGATAACAAAGGGATAATCGGATAAGTGAAAGGAGGATTATTTGTAAGAATTGTGTGAAGGATTTAGGACTGAACCTCGATAGTTTCACAAATCCCACCTCACTCCATTGTTATCGTTAGAACTTTGAAAATCTTTATTTCGAGCTCGATACGTTCTAGTCTGTTTCTCGTCGCATCGTTTGTGTTGATGTAAAATCGCTTTCTTCCTTAACAGGTACACAGGGCAGAATATGCAACAGGACGTCGTCTGGTATGGACGGTTGCAATCTACTCTGCTGCGGCAGAGGGTACAATACGCAGAAGTCGACCGTCAAAGAGAGATGCGAGTGCAAGTTCCACTGGTGTTGCTACGTTGAGTGCAAAACCTGCGTGAGGAATGTCGATATCCACTCCTGCAAGTAGAGTGCATAGCGCTGCTATTTATTTTTTATAAATTATCTTCCGTCGGGGCTTATCCTCGCATTACAGACAGTGTTATATACGTATAATTAAACGGCACGACGTATCGACGGTGATAGTGGCATTATCATCTCACACAGCAGATGAGTTCTGTTGTGACATACCACGATATGTCGTGTACTAATAATTATCCATCCTCAACGAAATCTGCACATTAAGTTCTATTACTTCAGAATGTACTACGTGTGGACTATGCAATATTAAGTCGTCTGTATCCTGTTAAACGTCACTTTGTTGCTTATCGTCAATTTTGTACATCAAGATTCGTAAATTAGAGTCGATTTTAATGAGACAGCGTGCATTATTTGCGGCCTACAAAGAAAGAAAAGAAAGAAGAAAACTTAAGCAAATAAAAACATTCCAATGGTGTATTCTTGTAAAAATTAAGCGCCTCGTGTGTTTCACGGTCGTTAAATTAACACGATTTCCCATGGAACTTTTTAAGACAAATTAAGGTTATACCCTGTTTCCTGTGAAGATATCGCATTAAATTAACGATCGTTCCGCAACAAACTAAAGGATTTTTGGTACGTACGATTTAACACAATGAAACAAATAACTTCTGGGTCATTTTAAGAGAGTATCCTGCGAATAAGATCTTTTTAATATGGATGAATATTTATTAGCAACTCGATTATGCTGTGTAATACACAGATAAGTGGTTTCAAGTTTTTTGTAATAGTAATGCTCTTCACGACGTAGCCATATATGTAAATTATTTCAAGTGTTCATTGCATTTCTATTTATTTGCACCAAGCGAACAATTTAGTTTAGTGACCTGAAAAATAGCACATAGATGCGAGTGACATTGTGAATTGGACTGATACTTAAGAATACTGTAACTCAAGTATCAATTGTATCTTAACATAGGATATATCATTATCTCACCAATATTGGTATTAAAAGCAAAAGAGGTTTTAGATGATTCATGATCCGAAATTATTTTTTTATTTTACATATACAGGCTGAGACAGGAGTACCTCTAACAATTGCAAAGGCTTGTAAGAATATATTTATATATTGTATTAATACTTCTTTACATTCAATTCCTTGTAGCAGATTCATCAATTTTTGAGATTATTTCTGTATTAACCTGTATATGTACATATATATACATATATATATATATATATACATAATTTAAATTTTCTATCATATAGTAATTATGATAAATTACTATACAACATTCCACTTGTATCACAGATTATATCTGACGGAATGTACTCTTGCCTTGGACAATGAGATAACCTGTAAGTCAGCTAACATTGTACTTTTAGTAACTAGATTCTAGATGTTTATTTATTAGTGATACAATTATTTATTTTTACTCCTAGATACTGTAATGTACAAAACTTGGCATTTCACAGTAAATAAATACTGGAATAATAAAATATCATACACTGATCATCAAGTTTGATTTCATTTCTCTTCTAAACTATGAATGCTATCAGTTGTACGTTGCATATATTGTATGTGCCATACAAACTTCCTTATTGTTCTTATTTACAGTATTATACACAGAAGGCTATACAAACTATTCAAAAATCTCCCAAGGCTTCTCTGGACGGGTTTTGCTCCAGAAATAAGGATATTTATATCTTCTTGGTTCATTCAAAATAATTCCACTGTTTTCCATTTCCTTAACTAATAAGTCAAATTTCTCTCCAGTTAATGAATAATCAACTTTTATTTCACAAATACCAGATTCCAAACAGCGTTGAGCTAATACACGTCCTACGTTAATATAAGCTGCAGCATCAATATACCTAAAATATTCATAATGCATATAATACACACAAATTATGTGAAAATAATAATATATCTAAGTCCAAACAAGTTTCTGTACCGATATAACTGTTTCTTTAATGCCCATTCTGCACTAGAAACTGTAATAACCGGTCCATTCTCAAAATGACGTACTTCTGCAACAATGTGGCGAGGCTTCCTGACCACGAATAGCCTATAAATTGAATATAAATACTGAATATAAATTGAATATAAATTGAATGGTAAAATAATAGTCAAGATTACTTAGCAAACGATCACATATATTATTCATTATATTTGTTGTTTTTACGGCTGTAATATAAAAGTACGACTAGCATACTTATGCCAGAATGTGCGACCGGGTTTATCGAGTCCATATCCTACGGGTTTCCTTGCTATTCTCAGTCGCTCCAAATTTCGCGGATTTCGATTAACGATCTCCGTGCAGTTTTCAAGTAACTCTGCGTTACTGTAAAACTCCCTATGCATACAGAACGCACGAGTCATGTGCGTGCGTGCATTTATCGCGAGCATTATTCTACAAATTATTAAAATCTCACACCGTATCGTAACACAATAATACTCGTTAACAGTAACGAACAATACTTATGTTGGAATACGACCACTACTATCGCCACGGAAGCATCGCCATGATGTGTAAAACAACGTATCGCGCCTAAAAATGGCACACGTTCAAATGATGAAACAACTCCTTTTTTGTTTTAATAGGTAGATTATTGTTCAGAATTTTTTAGATTAAATTTATTAATTTCATGTTAATAATTTTTGTATTTGTAAACCGGCGCTATTAAATTTCATGCTATGGTAAGAAGGAATTTTATTTTTTGTTGGTAATACGAAAATAATAAACTTCTAACTTATTATAGCTTTGTAAAAAATGATAGAAATATTATAATCTAAACATATTTAGAAAATAGAAACTTTATGATATGTAATGTTTTACGAACCATCTCATTGGCCGCATTCAGTAGAACAAAGTGATCAGAGAGCGCTTAGTGATTATTGTCTATGATTGGAGCATTCTTTTAGATTCTTCATAGACCCAGAAGTATTTACCAATCAGGAGCGAGATTCAGGAGCGAAGGTGGAAAACCTAGTAATGTTGTCCAACTGTTGAGTCTGCTGAATGCAGCCAATGTCATTAGTTCTACCGAAGTTATAGCCTATTTAAATTTGATGAATACGCTATTCATATGATGGATATCACTAGCGTACTAGCCAATCAAAATATTTTGTTCGAAACCGTCCGTTTCGTTTGAAATATTCCAAGTCGGCCATAACAGAAAAAATTCCCAAAACTTTACTCGACCCTCCCGACGAACAATGCACATTTTCAACGAATATTTTGTATAGTATAGTTAATAATTAAATATGTATGACTGATCATTAGTGTCGTTGACAAATATGTTTGCTAAGCATATAAGAATTGTACTATTAGATATTTAACGAAAGCTGTGCCATACCTCGATGTTTAACGATAATTCGCAGCCGAGATTCGGCTGACGAGTCAAAAAAGAAGCACTGCGAAGCGAAAATCGAGCTGCCCTTACGCAGCTGGCGCGCTCATCGGCATTCCTCGGCATTTTGACGATTCATCTCACTTCACTTCGCGCGGCGGAACAAATGTCATAACACACGCGCGAAACTTACTTTCAGCAATCCCGGTAACGATTTAAGACACGAGACTCAGCTACGACGAATCAAAATTACGAGAAATCACGGGCGACGGTTTCTCGCACCATATACAATCCGTAACCGGCGCCATAACTAAATACGAAGGCAACTGCGAACAGCGCCACAAGCGGGATACTCGGGAAGCTGAGTCGACCAATCGCGTTGATTCATTTCTTTTCGTAGTGGAACTATTTATCTGCACAAAGTGTACGAGGTGCGGTTGAAAGCAAAGACAGAGAGCGATTGATCGCCTTTCTATCTTACTATCTTCCTTAAGGAAGTAGAGTGAACAAGAACCGTGTACGCTTTGCCATTATCGTCAGAACGGGCGTAGTGCACACATTTTCTCAGGGGACGCGTCGGAAAAAACGTCCCGACGTAACCGGCCCGGTGGCCGCTCTCAGGTTTTTCTCTGCTCTAACTTATTGCACTAGTTCCGCAGTGCATCTAAAAAGAACAGACCAATTATCGTTGATCTTCAATTAATTCCGGACTCCTTGGGGCCCCTTGGTTGATACGAAAATTTATCCAGGGCTGTCAGTCTTTTTACTACCTCGTCGGTATAACTACCTTATAATTATGTAATATTCTTATAAATATATGTGTTTATTATGGAATAAATTTAGGGGAAGATATGATTAAGCAAATAGGATCTGGAATCAGTTAGGTTAAACAGTATTTATTCAAATTTTAGACAAGGAATATAGTGAACGACACAAAATTATTTTATAAAATTTCCAGTATAAAAATGAATACTCTGATTCCAAAAGTGGAACGTTTCACTTCTGATGCTAGATTAGCATGGAAAGCATTAAACGGTATAGTTGCCGTTTATAAACCACCAACGGTCACGTATTGCAATGTACGAGATACCATAATTATTCATCTCTGCAAAAGTTAGCATTATTTCACATTCATTTGTTTTACTTAAATACCTTTTTTTAATATTTTTGAAGTGCATTTAAAATTATTCTATTGCTCTTTCTTCAGAGAGCTAATAACTGACTGCCCTTTCCAAAAACAGTATTTGATTTACAGATTTGAACAATATGCACATACGTCCACCGATTAACCACGTACTCATAGAGGGTAGTACAACAGAGAAAATGAAAGTAATTGTCCATCCGAGCTATGCGGATCATCAATTAGTAGTAGGACCACGGTATCAAATTGAGGATATCAAACTAGCATGTGCTAATTACTTAGCCAAAGATGTATCAGGTCTTATGATATGTGGCATTAACAGTGGTAACAGTAAAATCCACCAGTTGAAACTTTGTCAGTTTCCAAGTAGTTACAAGGTTAGAGGCAAGTTAGGGCAAGCAACAGATAATTTCTTTTATACTGGGAGAATTGTTGAAAAAGCTACATATAAATTTATAAAACGTAAAACAATTGATAAGTTGTGTGCCTCTATGCAGGCTGAACATCAGAAGACAATGTTTGAGTATGTTATTCTTGATATATATCTCACTGTTATTTAATACTAAAATTTATGATTAATATTTGTTTCTTTTGGTACAGATTATGTGGAGTTGATATGCAAAGTCAGGCTGCTTATGAATTGGCTACAAAAGGTTTAATAAGACCCGTGGATAAAAAGATTCCAATGATATATAGCATAAAGTGTATAGATTTCACACCACCTGAATTCACGTTAGGTAATAGTCAATTTCTTTGAGATATAATTACTAATTGTCATTTTAACAAAATATAACTCCCATCAACTAATTTTTATATTTTTGATATGTATCTTTTTAGAAGTCGTTAGTATAAACGAGGATGACATGTACCTAAAATCTTTGATTCATACTTTAGGGATGAAGCTTCACAGTGTTGCTACATGCACTCAAATACAATGTTTTCAATACGCTTTATTCGATATAAATCTAGCTTTATTGAAAAAACATTGGAATATACAAAATATTTTAGATAACATGGAGCAGTGTGACAATATTCTCAATAAAAACAAAAATTTATTGAAACAAATAGATCCGATATTGACAAAACAAAATAATTGATTGAAATGATCTCAAAGCTGTAAATATATGACTGTATAAATCTATTTTATATATAAATATATATATATATATATAAATTATACATATATTGTGTCATTTCTGAATATAAATTTCCTTTACCAGTTAGGAGTGATTTTTCCTATTTGAATTCAATTCATGTGACTGTATTATACATTACCACAAGTAATATATCAGATAATCTGACTCTAAAAGAACTGTATACCTTCCTTTATATATAATGAAATAGATGACCAAAAGTCAACCCAAATTTTACATTGTTCATTATCGCGATTGTTTGACATCAAATAATACATTGGATAACAATAAAAGTAATTAACAGTCTTAACTTTCTTGGTTTGGAGCATTACGCTCTTTGCTTCGACTTCTTCGATTCTGACTAGAGTCAGAATCATCTGATTTGTCATTCGATTCTGCAGGTTTCCCTTTTGATTTCTGTTTATTTGTCCATTGTTGCATCTTCATACTCTTCGCTATTACACGTTTCTGATGATCCAATTGCGGAAACAAGTCTAAAATTTGCCAAACGAACAAATTAGAGACTTATTAACTTATAGAATTATATACAATAATTAAATTATATATAATTATTATTTGACAATTCTTAATGTACCTTGAGATTTTTCTAAAGCTTCTTTCGCGGAGTTCATTTCCGCTTCTTGAATACTATGTCCCGAGGCCTTAGCCAATCGTTTTCCTTGAAAATACACAGCAACTGTGTAAACTCTCGTATTAGTTGGTCCTTTACATTCAATAACTCTGAAAAAGAGAGAATGAATCTTTATTTTAACGTCTTTATTTTCACAAGAAACTTGAACATATATTTTCTCATTTCTCATTATTTCACATTATTAATCAAAGTGAATGTGGCGAGAAAACAGTGACCTTGAGTACTTACTTATATACCGGAATATCCGGCTCACCGCCGTCCATAGTTCTTAAAGTTAAACAGCATTGTTGTAATTTGCTCTTTGGATCGTTCCAGTCTTGATTCATGATGAAATCTTGCAAACGCGGGAAGAAGCACACGTCACAAAAGACGTGGCAGTACTTGAAACCCTTGTCGACGTAAAGCGCACCGAGGAAAGCCTCCAATAAATCCGCTCTGTCCTTCGTTTTCAGCTCAGCCTTCGGATTTCCATATAATGCGTACTGTGTCATACCCAAATCGTCACAAACAACCGCTTGTGTTTTATTATTTACAAGAGAACTCCGCAACAACTGCGATAAATACGACAAATTATTAGATTCGCCAAGATAATTCATAGATCAATTTACAAATCCTCCTGTTTACCGATAAATGTCCTTCATGATGCTCAGGGAAGAATTTATACAGATATTCTGAGACAATAAGCTGCAATACGGTGTCTCCTAAAAACTCCAATCGTTGATTCGAACCTAGTGTCAAATTAGTGTATCCTATACTGCGATCCGTGAACGCTCGAGCAAGCAAACGGATATGGGTGAACTTTATACCGATGGATTCTTCAAACTTGGTCAATTTCTGAAAACACAAAAGTCAACATAAGAACAGACAAGTAAGCACACAAGATCGGTGCTAACAAGACTGAAGACCTCGTTCGAAAAACAACGTACTTGCAGCAACTCGAAGCTAGGAATCCATTGTCTATCTCCCATTGGTTCCTGCTCCTGCAGAGGATGCCGTGGGTAATTGACCCAGACCTTGGCGAGATCCTCCTCGTCCTTGAAGAGTGTCTCACCAAAGACTCTGTCGGCTACTTCTATACCTCCGTCTAAGAACAAGGAGCCCATCAGCGCCTCGAAGCAATTTGCCATGGCGTGCCGTAGTTCCAAGTCGTGACAGAGATCACTGCCATGGGCGTACAGCATGTACTCTTCGAGATTCAGCTTCTTCGCTAACACGGCGAGATGCTGATTTTGCACGATTGCCGCCCTGTACGTGGCTAAGCCACCTTCTTCTAGATCCGGGAACATGTGAAACAGGTGGATGGATGTGAGGAATTCGACGACCGCGTCGCCCAGGAATTCCAGGCGTTCGTTGTGAGCTATCGACGATTCAGTCTCCGTTCTCGCGCCGAAACGCGACATGATGTTGATAAGGGTGTTGATGCCGCGCTTCCGTGTGTTCATGTAGTGTATTCTGCGGTCGCCGTACTCTGGCTGCCTTATACCGCAATTCGTCAGGGAGTTTCGCGCATGATCCGGATTTGTGCCGAAGTTTTCGCGATAGCTGGGATGCGTGAGAGCCAGCTGGAGCAAGTATCTGTTCTTAAACTCGTATCCCAACGTGCACTCCAGGTTGTCTAGAGACTTGTGGAACCTCAGGTGACACACAAGCACCGGTATCAACATCGCATGCTGTACGATGTCGCACATAATGCCGGTTCGGTAGAAGCCGTCCGAGGTCACGTCGACGGTGACGTCGCGTTTCATCTTACTCTGGGTACGCAACTCCTGCAGCCTGTTCTCTTTCGCCTCCAGTTTCCTCTTATCCTCGTAGGATGGTTTCGACATGTTGGCGAGCAGATGTCGGAATTTGACGTAATCTCTCCAGGCTTTTTGGTAACTGGATAAATTCATGAAGTTAGTTTGCGAATAATAAAATGCGAGTGATACGCTTTTGTCAACAAGCTGGATCAATGAGAACCATCAAGCAGCCCAAAATGACAAGACTGTAATTTCTTACAAAAATTACTCAAATTTATGTAACGATGCGTTTTATATCTTTAATGAACGCTGAATAAAACTCAGAGAAATGAATAAATATTTTTAAGCTTGAATAACATATTTTCTCATAGAACTTGCCTTTCGGCCGCTCTGAAATAGAAATAGATTGCGTTATCGGTAGCTCCAATGTTACAATAACACTTACTCTGCATTTCCTGCATAGCTAAGCTGTGGTGGTCGAATACCAAAGTGTACTATTTCCGGGTAAGCTAACACACCAGGAGGTTGGTCCACTTGACTCCTGTCCAGCTGGTCGACACGAACACTGCAAGGTTTCTTGCCAGGATACGTAACGACCATTCCCTTTACTTCGTCTGCGAAATCTTGCCACTTGTATTGCGGCATCTCGACTAACCTAGGCAAGTCGTCCGGATTTATGAGGAGAGTACTACTCTTTATCAGATAATTAAGGACCTCATTCATCGACAAAATCTCTTGGCCGTTGTCAGTCAAGTCGCGTACGAATCTTGGCATGAAGTGAAACTGTCCGCAGCCGGATTTGTCTTGTGCCGCCTGCAAGTCAAAATCTACGAGCTCCAGGATCTCTCGAAACAGGTATGTTTCTGTAAAAATGTGCAACGTTACAATTCTGGAACGAATGACAGAAGAAAAATGTCATTTATATGATAAAAGCAAGCGCTACTAACGGAAATAATCAAGTTCCTGTATTGTGAAATTTTCGGGTAATTTCTCTTCTATGTAGAGAATTGTGTATTCTATGTTAAATCTGATGACCTTGCATGTGGGTAACTTGACGAGCGGGAAGTGAGAGAGCATGGAGAAGCCTTCGAATATAAATTCATGCTCGTCGTGCTTGATAATCGTCGGTGTCTTGGTAAGGAAATTCGTCGGCGGACTGATCGTTATTCTATAGTGATGCAGCTTGTCTGCATTATTCGAATTTAGATCACATTTATTTATCACGCCCTCTCCGGCGTAAATACCATGCCTTATGCCAGATCGACGTGATTTCGCGCTGCATCTACACAAGGGACCATCGTTCATCTATAAACAGAGAAGACGAAAATGCAGAGTATCTCGGGATTTTTAAGTAGAAGAATAGTAAAACTGCGAAGCAATTTTCGACGTTACCTCACCGGGATCGTTGAACCACATTTCAGGGTGCAATCTCTGCGGATGCTGTTTCTTTGCCATTAATTCTTCCATCGTTCTGTCATCCTCGTCCATAGAACTGTCGCTGTCGCTGTCCGAAGAGCTACTGCAAGCCTCAGATTTATGACGGCAAAGACGCGCTCTGGTTTTCCTCGGAGGTGGCTTATATGGCGGCTATATGTAACAGAATGTAATTTTTCTCTTTTTTATTCCCTGTGCATATCTATAACGATCTGTATATTTGTACGATTTATAGAAATAAATGTACCTGCAAAGCCCTTGCTGCAGCTGCTCTATCAATCAACAGTTTTTTGAACACTGCACATAAATCTAAAAGCTTAGAGGTACTTCTCATTATTTTCGGATTATTTTCATCTCGACTGTAATAAAGATCTGCTGGTGCTGTGCGCGTCCATATTTTCCTTTCACTTTCCAGTATACCTTCGGAACCCATCGCCGACAATTCATCCAGTTTCCGCTCGATGTCCTTGCTCGTCGCGCAATAATTACGCCTGACACAAAAATCATTTTACATTTTTTGCATTTACTTAGATCTACATTCGGCACAAAACAAAGCTACATATAAGTATTACCTATATTTCTCCAAAAGTAGCTCTCTCTCAGTAGGACATTTTCTTTTAGTAGAATTGCTAGTCTGTGTCTCATCTTTGCTCACATGAGATTCTTGTGATCTTGATCTCTTCCTACATTTACTGCTTGCATATGTTTCTGAATGAGACGATCTGATTTGATGACTTTCGTGTCTTTTATATGAAGATCTCCTTTCAAAATCCCTGCTTTTATATTTATATTCCCTCGAACTGGATCTTTCTATATCATATTTATACTTTTCTTTGTAATCCTCACATCGTGATCTATATGATTTCTCTGATCTGCCACTACTGCTTGGACTCCTAGACCTGTTTCTGCCATTTGTATAATTTGGCAAATTTGGCAAAGATTCCTTATAATCATACTTCCATTCTGGCTTCTTTGTTTGCTGTTGAGGTTCATACTGTCGCCTTGGGTAGTATTTCTCATTATTATATGCTTTATTTGGATCATACCATGAAGTGGATGTATTTTGATATGTTGTCCAATTTGTGGTAGAATTATTAGAGGGCCATTCGTTATAGGCCTGGTTCTCATTATATACATTATATGTACCTCTGGCATTTGTATTTGTATTTGTATTTGTATTCCAATCCGCATTGTAATTCTCATTCACAGGTTGTTGCGGAAAGTTTGTATTATTTTGATACAAATTGCACTGTTGATTCATTTGATTTTGGTAAGGGACATTATGTATGTTACCAGGACCACTGTGATACACAGGAGGAGGCGCAGAGCGATACACTGAAGTTGTTGAGTCAATTTCCGACATGTTAGGAGTTGCATTGTAGGAGTAGAAGGAATCATAATTCGAGGGTTGATTGTAATTAGGCGGTGGGTAACTTGGCGTCGGATAGTATTCCATGTTCTGTTGAGTCGTCTCGGAGTTCCAGTAGTATTCTTGGTTCATGTTCATTGACGGAGGATTCGCCATCTCTGCGCGAGTTTTCTGTCAAATAATTATTTTTAATGAGCAATTATGCACACAATTCTATGTGGCACCTTATTTTACTGATAATTTCATGGTGACAGTAGGGAGTTTTTGCAATACCGTTTCTCAGATGCGGTAAACGTCGATCGTGAGTGCTATTGGTTGCGAATAACGTTCACGAGTTATGTTTACCGTATCTGAGAGACAGTATTGCAAAAACTCCCTAATATAACAGTTATTTTTCTTCTGTTTATATTACACGTGATAGATAACACAAGATACGTTCGCTTCTTTTAATTAAACCTAACCTAACTTGATGTAACTTGACCAAGAACCATGTCTTACCTAACTTTACGACACATCAGATGGCTCTGGTGACTTAAATAATTCCTGCAATAATCTTGACAACTCCAGTTTTATCTTTTCCACATTTCCACAGTTTTATCTTTCCTATATTTAAAAATTTAGTGTAAAACTTTGTATTTAAGTCCAAAAGTTGTAAAATTCGAAAGCTCAGAATGAAGAAAATTTCAAATCTTCTAATCTAAAGTTTAAAAGCTTGAAGTTACAAAAACATTTCCTACTCTTCATCCTCGCGATGGAGATATGCTTTATTTCTATATACACATATGCATATGCATATATATATGCATATGCATGTATACATATATGTATACCTATGTATATATGTACCTAAATCCGTGATTCGCAAACGGCGGCTGATATTATTTATAATCGCAGGTAGCCATGTTCGCGCGAGGGCCGCTCTCGTTCGGCCCCAACATGGGCGTTCCTTTTGTCGTCTGCAATGTGTCAAACGCCGTGGGACGGGTTAGTCGTAAATGAAGAAAAGCGGTGGGAGATTAGAGCCAACTTTGATACCGTTTAACTTGCCGACCGACTGTTAGACCGCTGTTAGAAACGCGCGAGCGCCAGTTGTCCATGCTGACGAACGTACCGCATTGTCTCCATTCGCCGCTTTGTGAGAGTGCCGCGATCATAAAAAAAGGCTTTCGCACGTATCGGACTTTGAGCTCGATAATTGAATTAAAATCCAGAAAAAAAAGACAGGCGGACGAGCGAACATCATTGAACATCCTTTTTCTTCGTCGCGACTTCGAGATTCGAGATCCGCTACGAGATCGATGAGTAATCTGGCCGACCGTGTCGCAGGGTTATGCAGCGGAGTCGAAGGAAAATAAAGACATCAAGACTTTCTTACATACTGGTGATACAACTAAGAGAGGGAGAGACAGAGCCTCGTGGATAATGAACGGTGACGCATCACCGTTGTTTCTCCACGTTCAGCAAGGTCTGAGAAATTGAAGTACTAGGTTCTCCTGTTAGAAATCAGCTGATCGACAAAGAGGCTATGAAGTTCACGATTAGGCTTTAACGAAAACAAATATTTACTTATATATGAAGGATATATGTTAAGCTTTGAGAGCCTGTTAGCGACGTGCAATTGTGTGTGATATACAAAAATATTTTTCTCGTGAGGAGAAACAAAAGGTCAAAAAATGTCGTCCGCAACGATGAGTACACCTAAAGGTAATAATCTTCAAAATCGAAATTCACAGAGATCTACTCTACTGAAAGTGGTGATTCTCGGGGATGGTGGTGTTGGAAAGTCTTGCCTCATGAATAGATTTGTATCGAATCATTTTGATGAGCACAGCTTCCATACTATCGGGGTAGAATTCTTAAATAAAGATATTGAAATCAATGGCGAGGCATATACATTACAAATATGGGACACTGCTGGACAAGAAAGATTCAAAACTCTTAGAACTCCTTTCTATAGAGGATCAGATATTTGTCTACTTACTTATGCGGTAGATGATTGGACAAGTTTTAAAAATTTAACACTATGGAGATCTGAATTTCTTAAGTACGCAGATGTTCGAGAAGCTTCTACATTTCCTTTTATCGTTATAGGCAATAAGGTAAGTTACCTATATTATCTTATTACTATTTTAATTATCTAATAGATAAAAACTTGTGTGTGTGTGTGTGTGTGTATGTATGTATGGATGTATGTGCATAACTATCGTATGTAAAACAATTTTTTTTATAGGTGGACGTCTCTGAATCAGAGAAGCAGGTTTCCACGGAGGACGCACAAGCATGGTGTTTGGAGAATGGCAATCCTCCATTAGTTGAAACATCGGCGAAAGACGCTACTAATGTTGAAGCAGCGTTTGGGGCAGCTGTCGCGGCATGGGCGCGACTGGAAGCTAGATTAGAGCGGCCTTTAGTGGAAGATACCGTCGATCTTTCTAAACAGCAATCTCCTCATCGTTCGAGCTGCTGCATGCCCATATCGGGTGCTGAGTAGGTCGCAGCTTGTGTGATTTTGACATTCTTTTTTTTATGTTCCGATGAAGTAATGCATGATAAATTCTTCTCAAGATCCTCCTTCGTGACGAGATAATTGCGATCGGGTGGTAAGAAGATAAGCACGATATGCAAACTTTACAGTGCGAATCAACGCTTGTGGGAACGGTCGTTTAAAGTTTCTTTATGTTTGGAAGCAGCACACATCGCAAATTGAACCCATAGGTGTTTATCCTGAGTAGAATTTATAAGGACACTCTGTATGCAATATAAATGTAAGGGATTATTTTTCTTTGTTTGGCCTACGCATCATTTCTTTGCACAATTACAGAAAGATACACAATAGAAGTGATTTATAGTCCATAGAGAGTTTGAACGGGCTTGCGTAAAGTTTCGAGTAGGTAAATATAATATTACTCCTCAGTTTCAGACTTAGCCATTTTTACCAATTACATTTGAGACAATTTCTCACAATAGGCATGCTTTTTTCTTCTAGGTCTAACAAAGTAATTTGAAGAGAATCTCTTGCCTGTGTCTACGATACTCTTTCTCTCTCTCTCTCTCTCTCTCTCTCTCTCTCTTTCTCTCTCTCTCTCTCTCTCTCTCTCTCTATCTTTCTCTCTTTCTACGGTGAACTTTATTCATGCTGGAATTGCGTTGGTTGTACAAAAATGAATTATAACTCAACTATAGAATTCAAAATTAAGTGAAACTTGAAAGATCGCACGGACTATGTTTGTAGGAAAATAATTAGTGATGAACGAGTGTATCCTTTGCTGGGTGGCTCACCTTTCTTCTCAATGAATCTTATCGAAGTACTCGGATGTGAAACCGCAAAGATCAGATATATAAGATAAGATAAATAACGTATCGCGATTTCCAGAATACAGCTGTAATATGTAAGGTCAGATTGAACGTCCTATTCTATCACGCTTTGTGCAGCTCTCGAGCTACCGACAGTATTTTAAGTATTTTACACAACATCGGCTTGTGATAAGATAATAATAATAATATTAATAATAATCGTGAATTGCTTTACTACATAAGAAATAGACATAAATTTGTAATTCTAGCTTTGTAATCTAAATTTGCCTTATTCTCGCGGCATACGTCTGAGAGCAGTGAAGCGACGCGAATTATTTAGACGAAATCTCGCTATGAGTATATTCGGTATTTATATATAAACTTGATGCTTGTACAAAGTGTGTGAAATACGCTTTTCTGCTCTTGGAACATTCCGCAATTGATGTCTAACGATTTTCCTACAAAATTAATTAACGTTACCGGCAGCGAAGGCTTTTTATACGATTGCCGCTGGGCTGTATGACACGTTCCTACAGTCGCAATGTCCCGTTCGAAAAATACCAAATTCTTAGGAACGCTTTGTACATGACAAACAAGAAAAAAGTATATAACACCGTTGTAAGTAAGCGGAAGATAATGTCGCGATGGCAAGATTCGGATTAGTCGTGTATGAAATGTGCATGCTGGTGCTTTTTATATAGCTACATGTGGAGTATATGAATTTATAGTGAAACAATAGAGTGATAACGTGTTGGTTAAGGATGTTAAGTGCTACAAGACTAATCATATCAAGGTGCATTCACCTCGTAACTACTGCAACATTGACATCACTCTTACGAATAAGTCTCTATATGTGCAAGATCTCTATGAATTATTTTTTAAAGAATACTGATGCACACAAGAATCAAAAAAAAAAAAAAAAAAAAAAAAAGCGCGTGCCGATCGTTATTTATTATTTTTACATATACTTGGTGTATATTCGTTTGTAAGAAGATTGCAATGCTTGCTTCGACGAGTTTCAGAAAATAGTTGGTTTATCCTTGCGATTCGATCAATTTCCATCGGAGAGGAGAGTATCGTAATCTTTTTGCGACCGAATGTACACACGTACTTCTCTTACATGACCTATATAATATGTGTGTATGCCTTAAGATTTTATAATTCCGGGGGTCGCGATTTTGCAAGGAAAAATAAACATACACTGTGCTTGTTTAAAAAGCGCTTTCTATTCCTGTATAAATTGATTCTCGCCAATGTCATTTATCCCTCTTACGAAATTCTTATTATTCATTGAGCGAGCATTTTGTAAAAATATCGATATGAGATCTGACGATAATAATGAAGTAAGGTCAAGGATTTAACGAAGAGATTAGTAAATCGCAATTATAATATTCTCCTAATTTGTTCAGATTTCTTTTCAGTTTTCTGATATTTTGGCGAAGTTATATCGCGATTATTTTACAAATAATAATCACTTACGTCACAACATGTAATAATACCTTAACTTGTAACAATATACTGTAGTGATGTTTTTATACATGGGTTTTGTTTAACATACAATGGCACACTCTTTCCCAAACATTAAAAAGTTACCGAATGTAATGTGTAAGCGTCCAAAAAAAAAAAAAGTAAAAATAATATGAAATTGGGAAAAAGTGTGTACATTCATCGACACGTTTCTTACACGATATCTTAACAATATTTACAAGTTCAAACATACTACATTTATATACCAAGATTCAGGTATTCAGTGGAAGTTGAGACTTTGCAAAGTTACCTGCAAAGTTATTACTTCGTAATAACGTAATAACAGGTATAATTAGGCGAGGTGTAATTAGTTTCGATAGAAACTCATTTGCTGAAATTATTCGAGAATGACATTGAAATCAAAATCAAGTAATTAATACCGAGAAAGGCAAAGGGCAATAAAAGTCTAAGACTTAAAATCTAGAAACGGTTCTTTTTTCTTTTTGTTTTATGAATGTCATGTTATTCATATGATATATGAATGTCATAAATTTTATAAAGGCCAATTCTCTCCAAACACTTCTACTTGGTACGTAGAACGCGAAAAATGCGCTCTTAATTTCCTTATATTCTGTCGCATATAATTGTACGCGCTTTAATCTCGTACAAATGCAGTCTACACGAAATACCCAGTTGCAGTAATTTACTAAATGCTAATGGCAGTGTTCAGTAACGTCCACGATTACTGACTTTTTCCATCCAAACAGGAAGTAACCGATAGCGGCACCCAACACTACGGCGCAACACAGCCAGACATTGTACGTCATGAAGATCAACATCAGGAAGTAGGACAGGACTATTTGCACGATGTGCAGAAACGTTTGAAACAAATGCATCCATGACAGCATGGTCGGCCTGCACAGAACAATTTGGTTTCTTTTTTATATTGTTCGATGAAGTGGAAGAGAAATTACGAAATTTGTTTTACAGTTGCAGGTGTCTGTTACTTACAATAAATTATAGCTTTGTACAAAAACATGTTAATACCAAAGTAACAAGCAAAATATCTTTACATGCAGTTTTAAAATTATTACATAAATGATATAAGTCGAAAGAATACGAAGGAGTTTTATGGTGAAAGTATTTAGCATATTATCCGTATCTAAAAAACTACTAAATATTATAGTGAAGATATTTTAATTAACGTCAACAAACGTTGTTACAACTATTACTATTTACAAGGTACATTATAATCAATAGATAATATAAGCATTAGTGGAGAAAGTCCAATGTGAAAAGACGATATCAATATCTTATGATATTCTTATTACTTACGGTTGTTTATGGATTACTTCCCCAACCATACTAAAAAAGCAAATTTAACGATTAAGTTTATTTCTAATCTATCTGCGATCTATCGATCATATCTAGCGACTCCGCGAAAAGTGTTGCTTGTTCGTTTCGAAAAGTATTGATAATAAATCTCGTAAAAGCTGATACTTTCCTAAGAACTCTCTTACTAAGCTAAACGTGAGCCAAAACGTAAGAAGCAACGCTCTTTACAGAGAGAGGAATCATCAAGCCAAACTCACTGAACGACCCGGCTATCCTCAGCTACGACATTCTTCTCATTAGGCACCGTAACACTTCTATACTGCAGAGAGTTATACGTTTTCCAAAACAGATATTCTCGGTAATACTTGAGCCCTTCGTAGAGAGCCGCCATGATGATGATACCGATCATCGAACCCACGAGACCGCCGATCGACGTGATTCTCCAACTGTCGAACAGCACCGACTCACAGACACCGGTGTGAAAAGTCATCTGTGTGAGCAAATAGAAACGATGTGTTAACAGTACCAGGTATTCGATATCTTGATCATACGTACCGACATACCATGCCCATGCATATCCATGTCGTCACACGCATTGTTCATCGAGGAAACAACTTGATGCATGCTGTTGTGATCCATACTTCCATGGTCCATGCCACCGTGGTTCATACTGCTATGGTCCATGCCACCGTGGTTCATAGCGCTATGATCCATGCCAACGTGGTTCATATTTCCATGATCCATGTTCCCGTGATTCATACCTCCATGGTGCATGTCGTGATTCATATGTGCGTGAACTCCTGAAGTGTTCATCTGGAAAAACAGGAGGACAGTTGTTGACGTTTTTGCAAATTTCAAGATTAAGTTACCAAATCTCGTTATCACGAGTCCCACCCGAGATGTGTCACCATCGCGCAGCTCTTATTTGAGAACGATTAGATATCAGATTTCATTGGAATTAATGATCATCATTGAGAGAATTCTATAGCGCTTTGTTTGACATTTTGGTGTGATAGAAGGTGATCTGCACAGAATAAAAAAATTGGTTTCCTCTCAAATCGAGGATAACTCGAATGTAAATAAGTTGGCATATTCAAGGATTCACTAAAAATATCTGAGTCTGTATCAAAACGTTTCAGTTTATTATGACGTGGGAACAATTTACAAGAAATATGAATTTTTTTTCCAATGAATAAATGCGCTCGATATACATGTCGCTTTAAGGAAGTTTCTTAATTTTTCTAACAATATCAGCAACCGGAGTACGAGCAAACTTTTTTTAAAGATCGCAATAAAGATATTGAGATGAGTATTATGTCATCACGCTTATCTGTGACATTATATTGCTCCTTCAGACGTTGTGTGACAATATCTTCATCACGTATGAAATATGCAGCTACGTGTTACGTGACCGACATTGATGTAGTCACGTGTTATATTCACCTCTATACTTTTGATTTCTCAAGTTTTATTTTCGAAAAATAATCGAAGGAAATGATTCCAATTTTCTATGAAAATAATTTTCTATGAAAGTAAATAAACGAGAATGATAAGAGCGAGATCGCTTTTATTAATGTACAATTATTCAATATATAAGGAAATGTCGAAATGTTTTAAGGATTTTACCTTTTGAGGTTTTACCAGACGACATCCCTATCTCTATATTCGAATTATTACCGATTCTCAGAAAATCTTATCAATGCATGTATTCCAAGAGATTGGCAAGCGTGGCAAAGCGAGAAACTAAACGAGAAACTAATTAAGAAAAGTTGTAAAACGGGAAGTTCTAGGAAACTTTCGGCCGAGATAAGTTGATAATACCGTACGATATCGCAAAAATGTATCCCAGTTATGTGAATATTTTTAGCAATAATATCAATAAAACAATATAATGAGTTGGATACGCGGCATTACTATACACGCGCATAAGCACCTGTTGCACGAGTATCTTATTCATTAATCAATAAGAATTCCATCGAGGACATTCCGCTAATCTCTTCTTCATCGCCTCATGCAACTGTAATAATCTTAGTATAAGCGGAGGACAGCAGTTGGGTGGTTGTAGCATCTTATCGAGAGATAAAATTTTCAGCGCGATATAATTATTTGCAGTGCATTCGCGCGCAGATAAATAAATCCGTACAGCATTTCCTGAAAGTCGAGATCCGAATGTTAACTGGATATTCACACTCTCTATAATCGTCCCTATAAACAATATATAAAATCGTATGCTTGATATACAATAAAAATTAATATATAATAGAAAACTGATCTATTCCGTATTTGTATAAATTTTCTATCATAAATAAATAGAGATTGCTTCGGAAAAATGTAGATTTCTCCTTTGATAAAAGATCTGAAAGTATTGAAAAGAATCAGTTCAGTTTTGCTCGGAATACATTTGTGCCGATTCAGCGGCTTAGTTAGACGTGATTGGACCTTGAAATGGGAAGAAACGAGCTCCCAAACGTTGTCGATTCGGCAAGTAGAACAAAGGCGACTAAGAAAAACATAAACCGTAGTACGGCGTACTTTCTAAAGTAGATCGTCTCCGAAAGGATACAGTGTATCCACATTCCGTACTAATAGGAACGAATGAAAAATGAGTCGATTGTGTGATTGCATTCTGGTAGAACAAGATTTTAATTTTTTTACATTCCTAAAAGAGAGTCGACTGACGTGATGTGTGAATGCGATCTGGATTGAGAAACGAGAAACGATGAAGAGAAAGAAATATATAAATACATATATTGAATTTTTCTTGGATGTAGTAAAATTGTAATTTGCAGAAACAGAAAAATATTAATTGTATGAATAATGAAATGAAATATTTTGCTTTGATATTCAATATAGGTACATATTACCAAGTCATTAACGAATTACGATAAGATATTTTGATAAAAGAAAATATAAGGAAAAATACAAGTTTGCTTAAATGTAATCATTTTCTGTGGAACATTTTCTCTTCTTCTCTTCTTCTTTATATCACACGCTTCACACTTCCACTTTTTTTTCTCTTTTAGTTTATCATGATATTGTCACTTCGTACGACTACCGCGTCATTAATTTTAAATTGTTTTATTCAAGAACTCAGCATATGTAATTCACGTTTTGTTTGCCGATTGTTCGATTTCATGTTACTTCGTTTTCTGCAGATACACATCAGATGCGATTTTATAATTTATTTCGCTCTTCAATCTGTGCATTGACCTTGTTTCTTCTTTTATGACCTTTTAATTATCGAACCTTTATACATACACATACATTTAGGATACAGCAGAAACATACCTTGACTGCTTATTCGGAATTAAATGTTCGCGCAAATATTATCATTACGTATCTCTCTCGCATATACGTGTGCTTGTTTATGCGTCGTTTAGATAACGCATCTTATTCGTTTGTTTGAACAATTGTTCTGCACCTACTTTAGTTAATAAAAATATTCCAGAACACTGAGTAACCATGAATGTTAAGATTACGAGCGAGAAAAACTTCAATTCACAACGTGCGAATATGACGAACTACGATGTACATGAGATTGTCATGTATGTGCAACGGATATCACTTTAGAACTGTAACGCTACTGATAAGACGCGCCCATGAACTATCTCTTTATATCAAGAGCTCTTATCGATCGTTCGATTGAACATACGCGCGATTATTCGAAAGAATTACCGCAATACTATGTATTTATAAATAACCTGTGTATTTATAAATACCTCACAACAATGTAGCACGGTGATAACGAATGAAAATAAAATTAAAATTAACAATCGAGCAGTAAAATAAAAATTCTTCTGTACAAGGGACTAGATACCGTGGTATAGGTACGTAGTAAAGAAGTAATCGATCGAGCATTTTGGCGAAGAGTCTCTGAACGAAATGTTTCGTGCTGTCCGTTTAAAAGTAAAACCACGTAAATAGCAGATAAAGATACTTTGAAGAACGTTTTTAAAAAGCCGTTTTAATCACGCGCGCACGTAGCCGGTGTCAAACAAACCATTGTTCCGTAACGCTCCAACGAAACACGCGAATTGAACACGAGAATTAAATATTGTCGCCATGAGTGTACTTGTATCAATTCTTTCCTTTTTCCGGCGATTATCTCGTTCAGGTGACAACAAATTGTACAACGTGATCCGCAGAAGTGCACAGGATCTCTCAACTTTTACTTTCACAGCATGCTAAAACACTTTGATATTTTCGTTATAAAAATCCGAAACCCGGGAGATATTAGCGCTGTTAGAAGAGGTTGCGGTTGATAAAAGCGACTCATCATTAGCACAAACGTCACTGCGGAAACCGCGCGAACGATTGAAATCCGCGATAAGGAGAAACACCTTGGCAAACAAAACAGGAAGCACCAGTGGGTTCGGAAAAAGCAACGGAAAGAACAGTGATGTACAATTTCAACGTCTCGATAAAAGACGGGACGGAAATATGCAATGAAATGAGCAATGAAAAGAATGCATGCGATTTCGAGAATGTATTTTCCAGCGAATACTCGATGAAAAATACGCTCTTAACGCTCTCACGCGTGATCGCCGACGAATTTGCCGGGTGCTGCAGGAATCTAATATCGGAATACCGCGAGTTCCCCCTTAATGGGAAGTCTCGTATTAATAATATTCTCGGGAGCGAGGTGAGATCCCGATTATCGATTGCTCCTGGCAATAATTCATTCGCGGTGCATTCGCGGTGCAGCGCGAATAAATTCGCGCGAAGCAGACTGAGCGCGGACGTAATCTGAAAGTGTCGGAGAGGTCGTTGCATCGTGTGGATATGCCATTTACGGTAAAATCTCGTTTCAGCGAACACAGCGACCTTCAAACGTTCACCCGCGAACTAATTTTTATTAAAAATTAGCGATGGAATCTTTCAGCAAAAGTTCACTTTCTCTCGTCTTCTTAAAATATTCCAACACTCGAAGATACGTACCTTACTTGCGAAGCGAAACGTAATATAATGAAATCCCAATAAAGTGAAAATCTCGCCAAGAGGCAATGGACGATAAATAGCAATTATCACGGGTTTATTTACAGCCTCGAAGTCTGGAGATTCGCAGAAGAATTCTTTCATTTTTAAATGAATTTCTAATTGAAAACTGGTAGATATATATTTTGTAGGATTATAGAACTGGAAGGAACGCGTGGGTGAAAGGGAATATGTGGCAAACTTGGAATATTTTGTCAAGCGCATAACACGAGACTCTTGCTCAACTTCGCCAAGTAAATTTGCGATCGCGAGGGCGAGAGAACGACAGGCAGATATTAACGTAGACGGATAGCTAATTACACGATGTAGCACATGCTCGTGCCGAGTAAAAGAGAAAGAGAGAGAGTTTCTCGGTCGCACACGTTCTCATTCTCATATCGTCACGTTAAAGTTCGCTGCTATCGTCAGATAATGCAAATTCTCCGTCGAGGGTTGACGATATTGACTCCAATTGAATCAATGATGGTAAATCACTATTAATTAGCGCATCAGCGTGGGGTGGTGGAGAAGAGGCGTAAATATCCGCTGCGATCGCGTTGCACAAGCGCGATTATCGATAAGTATCAGCTTCCACACACGACGTGAAGGGGAAACACGGCGAATCTGTTTCGTTTTTCCGCTCGCGATCCAGTCGAAATGGCGGAGAAATTCAAGTGTACATTTATTCTCATCTTCAAGTGTACATTTACTCTCCACTCATACGCCATCCGTATCTTTGTCATCATTGTAACATATGTCGCACTCGACGAAGAGCGACTATATCCTTCGAAGGATAAGGATAGAAGGAGGAAATTCCGCGATGGGAAAATACTCGCGAAGAGTTGTGAAGCACTCGCGAAAAGATTGCGACTTCACGGTCAACAATTGCGATTGAGTAATCGGCAAGTTTCGTTGTCTTCTTCTAAACAACGGTTCTCACCGCAGTGCCGGTAGAGAGAAAAAGAGAGAGAGAGAGAGAGAGAGAGAGAGAGAGAGAGAGAGAGAGAGAGAGAGAGAGCGAGAGAGAGAGAGAGAGAGAGAGAGAGAGAGAGAGAGAGAGAGAGAGAGAGAGAGAGAGAGAGAGAATTCGATTAAGTCACGGTTGGCGTTAATCGATCCCTCATTTAAATATAGACGAATCGCATAAGCTCTACCATAAGGAGATCCAAGTACAAGGTGAATTTTTGTAACTTAAAAATTTTAACAATACAACCAACGACAATTTCTTTCGTAGAATCAAATTAGGTCTCGAAGATTGGTGGATTAATTTAACAAAAAGTAAAACATGTTCCACGGGCTAATTCACGGTATCAATTCACGAACTTTCTCCGCGAGAGACCCGCGCTGAGAGAGAAGGGGAGAAAGGGACCTGTTTAAAAAACGCGTGAAAGTCAGGGAAGATAACAATGCGAGGTCATGAATGATTAATATAACTGTCAATATGGTTGATCACTCTCGCTCTCGGTGATTAATCTGCGACAAGGAGATTCGTTTGCGACGGCTGCAAAGAAAGAGAAAAAGAGAGAGAGAGAGAGAGAGATAGAAAGAGAGAGAAAACCGCGGAGAGATTTCCCCAAGGCTAGATGAAATACACCGACGAGCGAAATCCTGCTGGATTCGTGCGGACGAAGCGGAAAATTAACACATCGCGTTACAGGAGCGTTGCCAAGAGTTGCTTACCTTTTGCGAACGAGGTTATGTCACGCCGTGCGACAGTCAGCGACGAAGTATGCGGAGTTGAGTGACGACGACGGTGGAACGAGGCGGGCGAACCGTTGCAGTTCTCTCCACTTCTCGTTCGTCTGAGCACGTTCACAGCAACAAACTGTCGCAGGTTCACCGATACACCGCGCGACTTTCACCACTTAGCCAACACCTCCCGGAGCAGCACCAACGAAGAACCGAGACTTCGGCCGCTCGAAAGAGCGATCCAATCAACACATGACATAAGGCGGTACTGTTTGTTTATGCGACCGCTTGGTGGCAGTAGCGACCGGCGTTGGTCAGGGTGCGAGGAACTCTCGAACCTTCCACGAGACAAACCTATTTGCTCCAAAAGTACCGTTTACATTTACATTTACATCATATTATTTGGACCATCAGTCATGATGATATTTAAATGATTGCTCTATTATACGGCTAACCTGGGATTTATCATGTCGGACGTTCATCGTACACGAACACATACGCATCTAATTATATTTCCGCAAGGTTGTATGTTTCCATCCGCACATCAGAGAGATAATTGCAGGCTGAAAGTAAATTTCTTGTTTCTCGCGAAACGAATCGAGAAATCGTCGCCAAGAGCTTGTCGAAGCGAAATTATTAGCGTGTTCTGGAGCGGTCCACAGTGCAATAATGAATTGCACTCTTTTGCAACGAGTAAACGCGCATTGTGATTGGCGGACTCGCTATGCAGTATCTCGATTTTCGGACTTCGAGATTCTCAATCGTTGCAACGTTCAGCCTTTTTGGCTGCGGATCGAGGAGCAGTAGCACGGGTTCGAATAGCTCTTCCTTTCATCTGTGATTTCGGTATGTTTACGTTAGTTTTACATGCGAATCTCTATCGGAAATGTTGAATAATAAATTTCGCACGTGCGGGACGATAAAATATCGTCCAACGACGGCCAAAGTAGACGAGTATCTCACGATATCGGTAGCACCGAGTGCTCGTAACCTAATAGCGACTCAAGCTTCGACTTGCCGACCGTTATGTTCTCGATTCACCGTAATTTCGCGTACGAAATGTTGCTCGAAAATGTTAAGGGAAAGCCCTGTGCGCTCATTACGACAGATTCTCGTTAAGAAATCATAAGGGCAGTTAGCCGCGCAACGGTCATCAGTGTATCGTCTGAAGTATCGCGCGTATCAAGATACTTCGAGGTTCTCAACCATTTAGTTCAGTCGGTTACGGACAGATCGCATCGATATGTATTTTCGGAAAGCCGTCCCACGCTTGTTAGACTTGCTCCTGAGGGGTTTCGCTCGCGAGTTTTCGTCGGAAGTACCGAAAGTAAGTTTTGTACATTTGGGAGGGTAAAATATCATCAAACTATATCGCGATACGAGCGGTCGGGACTGCCGAACTAAAGGTCATTCTACAATACGTGTCGTAAGTTGTAAGCCGTAAGAACTGACCAATTATAGCCGATTATTTTTGTAATAATCGACTGTGATTCGCCAATTCTTACGGCTTACAACTTACGACACGTATTGTAGAATGACCTGAAGTGTCGCGAGTCCGTCACATAATGGCGGTTCGCTGTTCAAATTCTCGACCTTTGTACTTCCGGTCTACCGCGGAGGAGTCGCATGCACGAAATGTCGTCGAAAATGAATTTCGCGAATATTGTGATCAAATATCCGTAACGCCATGCGTTACGATATGAGTCGTCGGAAATATTGAGTAAAATATCGCGCGTCCATGTGTAATTTGAGATTCGATTTGTCAAGGACAAGTCTCGCGAGTAAGGTCGTCGGGAGTGCTGAAAGTAAGTTTCATGTGTGAAATATTGCCGGGAGTGTCGAAACTAAATTTCGTGACAAAACATCGGTAAATATCGCCGGTAACAAACATGTCACAATTGGAAGAAAATTGCCAACCATTTGTCGCATCATGGAAATTTGGCATTCGAATCGCTTTATTTTCGATTTGCCGGACGGAAAATCGGTAAGTACCAATGCAACAATAATTAGCAAGATGTTTGCGAATCGAATGCCCCACTTGCAAATTTTGAATTGAAGCGTTCGTTCATACAAAGGAAAGTAAGGGTAATATAAAATACATCGTAGATATAACTCTGGAAAAATGTAACTTTGCCTAATTTATATTATATGTTACGCACATGTACATACACTTGATGCACTGCATTATCGGCTACCCGATCTAACCGACACTTGAAGAAATGATAATATCGACGCTCTGCGTTATCGTTAGAGTCAAGAATTTTTATGTAACTGCACCTATAGATGACACTGTGCAGCAGTGTCGTTCCAATGCTTTCTCTTTCGACGTATGGATTTTTCGATAGCATTATCTCACTCTTTCTGGTGCTCTCGCTCGCTCTCAAACTCGAGCATTCGTCTATCTCACTCGAGTGAGCACATGGTGCGCGCGCATCACTCACTCAGCTGTTAAGCTTCCAAGTGTCAAGACAACGCGGATCTCAAGACTGTGACAGTGTCGAGTTTGTCCCACACACGTTTACGTTACCACTTGTTATGGCAATTAGGCCGTTGTGGCCCGATTTACGACCACGAGCGACGGACCCGTTGTGGTTTAACGCGGATCGACCGTGCGACGACGAGAGCGAAGTCGCCGCGCTCGAGGCGGAACATCAAGCGTGGGTAAGTGTACGTGCTTTCATACATGAATAATCATGCATTCAAAACGCGTATCAGTTCCGTTATGTTATTCTCGTATTTTCTTCCAGGCAGACTTTGTCCAGGTGCAGGGCTGCGACAACATTCCGATCGGGAAAACAGTGAGCGACGTGAGTTAACCTAATTCTCCAACCTAACTTAACCTAACCTAACTGGTGCGACCGATGCGTTTCCTGCGAATTTGTCGGACTCTCGTCTCGGATTAATTTGCATTTGTCCTCTCGGTTCTGGTAATTTCGAGAGAAGATATATTTTGATTTATAATGTAAACATAAAATTATCATCTTGACGAATCGCGCCACCGCGTGACTTCAACATGCACACAGTCGCATCTTTTATCATCAGTCGAATATTACCATCGGTATCGTTCGAAACGACTGGCGCAAATAATTTTCGTAATTGTTTATAATATTTTCAAACATTCGAATCAACATACTTTTATCGTAAGTCACGGATATTACACGGAGGGACAATATATGTTAATTAACAACGATTTTATCGGCGCGTGTGAAAAATCCAGTTTAGAGGATCAGAGGAGGACGAAGAGGAGGAAGAAGAGGAAGAGGGCGAAGGCGAGGAAGAGGACGAGTCAGACACCCACGAGGAGGAAGAAGAGGAGCTTGACGAGATCGACATGGAAGTGAGTTACACCTCTCATCATCCGCAGAGATCCAGCCCGACGGATCTGGTGAGCCCACCCGTGTCCATCAGGATGGTCAATGCGACGAATATAACTCGTTACCCATAGCTACGCTTTACGTTTGTACAGTTGACAACTAAATAAACCTCCATGTGCCTGTAGAAATATCTTTAATCGCAAGTCTCATATATCAACAAATCTCGATGTCTTTGTCACAATACTTTTTAGGCTCTTATCTCTAGCATCTACATTGGTAAAGTAATTTATTTAATAAAGTTATTGTTATTATTTATGTCAATTATATCGCAATGCAAATATATAAAAATTTACTTATTTCTCCATTCTCGATCGTTTCTTCGGCCGCCGTAGAGCGCCGCTTATCTCGATCGCCCTTATTTCGCAAAAATCTATCTTCTTCTTCCGTCGACTTCATCGTTCGGCGAACGGTCAGTATTTTGAAATCAACCGTCCGCTCGGCGGTGCTTAGGCTTACTTGGGTCAAGAACCCGGCGACGTGCGATCGGCTAAGCCGATGTCGAGCTAAGCGGTGCAAATTCCATCCGTGACGCTGGAAATCGCTCGACCAGCGAATTCGACGTCGTCGCGGCAGTCTGGGGCGCGGAAAGCCTCCTCTCTCTCTCTCTCTCTCTCTCTCTCTCTCTCTCTCTCTCTCTCTCTCTCTCTCTCTCTCTCTCTCTCTCTCTCTCTCTCTCTCTCTCTCGTCCAGGCTGGAAACAGTCGACAGAGTGGTACCGCGGACAGTAATGTCTTCATTCCTACGTACGTCGAGAGCCTCTTTCGAGGAGAAGAGCGACTTGCCGCGCTCTGTCCAGAGCACTCGAACAAAAGGGCCCGCCGGCCGTCCTTTTCCCTTTCCTTCGCGATCCCCTGTCTTTCTTTCTCTTCTCTTCTTTCTCCTCTCCTCTTTCTCTCTGGCTTTCCCTCTCCCTCTCCCTCTTTCTCTCCAGTTTCTTTGGAACGGACCGGCGGAGTCGGTACCCCGCCTTGCTCTTTCTCTCGCTCTTTCTCTCGCTCTCGCGAAGGGCCGTGGAACCGCGTCGTGCTCGACCGGGACACTCTCAGTACGCTCCCCGTGTACCCACCTCTACTAGGTGTAAGTACACGCGAGAATGTATTATATATCTTTATACAGGGTGTCCGGAAACACTCATGCGTAGAGACACCGTTCAGCGGAAGAGTCCGTGGGGGAAAAAGAGAAAGAGAAAAGGAACGGAGCAACGAGAGCGCCCATAAGTTTTTTACTCCCGCGTGGCGGTATGGTTGTTCCCTTCTTCCTCTTTTTTTAATGCAAGGGCTCGAAGTTTACGGCCAATCGGCCAAGCTGCGCTTAAAGAGTCGTCCGTGTGTTGATGCTCTGCGCACGACAGTGGTATTGATATTCGCGTAATTTGCGCGATCGTCGTCGTTGGACAAAAGACGCGAGCCGTAAATGAAATTTGCGCTGAACGACGAAGTATTCGGCTGCACTTTAAACTCGGTCTTTAAGTCCTTGTCGTCGGGTACAAACTGCGAACTCGAAACAAAAAGCGACGAGCACTCTCTCTCTCTCTCTCTCTCTCTCTCTCTCTCTCTCTCTCTCTCTCTTTCTTTCTCTCTCGTCACGCAGTTTTTCGTCAACTTTTTTCGTTTCCAGCCACGAATTTCCGGCTGCTCGGTAACTCTATTTTTGCATATACGTATTTTTATGTTCATGCGGCTTTATATACCGTATGTACGCGGGAATGTATTGTACATACCTTTATATATACAGCGCGCCGACTCTCCGGGCGTGTAACTGAAGTAAAGCCAGGTTGGTGCCCCCGCTAGGGTGAACGAACGGGTACGCTCAGGCAAAAGCGAACCCGTGTGCCTCCTCCTCCACCACCATCATCACCTCTTCCTCCTCCTCCTCTTCCTCCTCCTCCTCCTCCTCCTCCTCCTCTAGCAACAACGTCCTCCTCCTCTTCCTCCTCCTCGTCGGGCGGAGATCGTCGCCGCGGACTTTCGCGAGAGGAAAAATGCAAAAATCGGTTGGCCGCGCGCGCTCGGCAATTCGTGAGACCGTGATCTCCGGGCGCATCATCGATCCGCCGCCGTCGTTCGTCCGTATATTGAATCATTAAGGCGCCCGCGATATCGATCTACTTGCTGGTCCGGCCTGCTCGTGCCAACGCGCGATAAAGTCTCGCGCCGGTAATTCAGATAAACCAGCGTGATCGCGTCTCAACGATACGCGTTTCCTCGCGTATTCCGCGTGCGCTGAAATCCAGTGAATTCACTCGTTTGTCATCGCACCTTCTGTGTGTCTCATCGCGTTATCGAAGAAAACATAGTACCGATAATCCCGAAATCGGGCCGTAATAATCGAGCGAGTTTCTTTCTTCAGTATCGGAACTAAACACGCGCCGCTATATTGTTATTCGACACCCAGCCACTTATTGAAATATCTATACGTGTATGAAGGTAGATTTATGCCCGACGAGAGGGCGGAGAACCGTGACTCTTTATTTTTCGTCTTTTCAACTGCGTAAAGCTAGACTTCTGTAATTTGCCTCGGATGATATTACGTTTTCAAAGACAGTCGTATGCACGCACAAAGTGCGAGCGCGCTTCCGCGCTCGGCAACGCGTGCATAAATCTCGGGATTTATGAATCGTGGGTTTCGCGGATGGTAATACTGTCTGGATTTATGAATTAATACCGGTCATATTAGACTCATAAGTCTTAGCGTTTAGGCGAACGGAATCGTTCGCGTGGATTACTCGATCGTCTCGTGATTCATCCGCGATTCACCGATAAATTATGATCTTTATCACTCTCGAGTGTGTTTCCTCACGGCTCTTTTCTCTAATCTCTCAATGCCTCTACATAGCCTTCGTTCGTGCGGGAAACAACGCAAAGTTTTGCCGCGGCGGGCGTCTTGTATCAAACGCATAATAAGAAAATAGAATCGTAAACTTTATATATCATATATTCGTTCACTTCTTTCCTGATGAAAGATATTGACAGATTTAAAATGAATTTTGCAGCCCTAGAATTATTATTCAATGTATAAATTGGACCTTGCGAGGCTTAAGTTAAATTACAAGATCGGTGCTTATAATTGTAAATTATTTCAAATTTTTTTATCATGAGCATAATTTATTATAGATTTATATTCACATTTGGATCGATATCAGTGTGAAATAAACAGAGAGGTTGAGGAATCATTAAACATTTATGAAGCTATAATTATTTGTTAAATATAATAACTATTTTATAAATGTTCGTCTAAATTTCGAGTCAGATTATTTCATTATTCTCAATAAGTTCGTCAAATATCTATCAGAATCAGGAACCTGTATAATGAATAATTTATGTGACATATTTGTGAAAATATGTATCGTTGTTTCCTCGTTGATATCTCGGGTGCTGCGTCTTGGCTCCCGATTCTGCATTCCATCTCTTGATTGCTACGTCTTGCGTTTGATTCGAGGATATGCACGTTAAAATAACGCGAAATCGACGAGAATGTAATTTCAAGGTATTTCAAGAGTCAACGATCTATTTCAAACGTTTAACAGTAACATTCGGTAAAATATAGGAGGATAGAATTCGATCGCCTCAAATGTTCGGAATGTTTCGGTAGTGTTGATTATCGTAATCGGGCACGCTCGGTCATTCAGCCGCGGGCGACGGGCGACGGGCGGCTGCCGATTGACGCGAGATAACACAGCCCTTTTTTGCCATTATTTTGGTAGTCTTGTGCGTCCTTTTCCGTGCTTGAGCCATTGTGCTTCGTGCTTACGAGTGCGAAGCACATGTGTCGCGGCGCGATGTGTACATCGGTGACGCTTAGTTAACATTCTTTCCAATTAATGAAAATATTCCGTCGGTTTTTGAGAGATTTCAAGTGCGCTCTGTTGCGTCGCTCAGCGGTGTCGCGCGTTAATTGACATGCGTTTTTCCGCCATCCGATCGAATTGTATTTGCGCGATTGCGATGTTGCGAGCGAGTATATTACGACGAAGCAGCCAAGAGCAGGATGCTAAATCGAAAAGCTAGGATGGAGTGTCGGGACGTGGGCAGCGATACATCATCTCTATCCAGGTGCGTGAAATAATTTATTATATATGATGTTTCTGATCTTTATGGATGTTTAACGATCTTACTGAGAGTAAGGAAATATTCCGAATCGAAATTTTGGCCGATATTTATAGTCCGTCGTTAAATAATTACAAGTTAAATTCTTCTGAATTTCCAACTTTTCGTTAAGCTGTATTGATTTCAAGCAACACGAAATATAGATAGATAAATAAGTAAGTTTATTGATCTAAATAATTGATTGAAGTAAATTATATAACTAATATGTTGCTTATTGGAATTAAAAATAAAGATTAAATGCAGGCAGAATTTTGAGATGATTGAGTATTTAAAAAATTCTCAAGTTTTTCTTTATATCTTATAGCTTAACATGGAGAAAGAGGCGATAAGTAGATAAGATGTAAAATTGATATCAAAGATAGAATAGCTTATGTAGTGTTACATTTCGATATTCTTCACACTGATTCAAGTTCGACAATATTTTCAGGGAAAATATATGGTAGAAATTTCGATTCGGATGGCTCTATAAATTCTGAGTTCCTTTTCAATAGTAAAGGAGTGGAGTAATAGTAAATTTATCACAAGACTTATCTAAGTGTCTCCGCGATGTTTGCTTGCTGTCCGAGGTCGATCGATTATCTCGCCTCCGAACAAGCTTATCTGATTGGAAATTTTGCTACAAATGCGAACTCTGTGCTCGAGATGCACTAAGGAGCTCGATATAGTCACCGTATGATTTATTTAGTATTATATATTATCTGCGCTAATATCGACTTGACCTACTGACCCACATGCAGGTCGATCCAATCTCTTATCCAAGGTCTTCGGGCGATACCCTTCATCGCGTTCGCGCGCGTTCTCATCCTTGCGGGTTTACGACGAGTTTCTCTACCGGAAAACCGAAGTGGCGATTGAAAGAATGAAAATTACACCCCGACAATTTAATAGTTGTTTATGTTCCGTTGCACGCTCTCTAACAGCTCCGAATGACGAATTGATGACGTCATCGGTTATTATTCCAAGTATACTTATTTTATCAATATTTATTTCATCTGTTTTATTTTGACGACCGACATGTTATTCGGAAGATTCTCGGAAGATTCTTCACGTTTGCCTCACTTGCATTTCATATTAGTAGCGTTACAGAATAATAAACATCGTTAGTATTAAATATATACGCTGGATATTTATTCGCTCGATAATTTCATCGCGTA